GGTACTGGGTATTGAACTCTGGACCTTGCGCTTGCAATAGGCTTTTATATTTTGAGACAAGTTTTCACTGAGTTGCCCAGGCTGGCCTCATACTTGTAATCCCCCTGCCTCAGCCTCCTGAGGAGCTAGGATTATAGGCATGTGCTACACCAGACTGGTTCATACCAGGCTTTCCTAACATTTCTTGTGAGCATAAAACCCTGAAGGGGCGCCTTTGGCTTCCTGATGCTAAGCGCAGGGCTTGTGCGTGGGGCTTGGGTTTGGGTTCTTGAATATTGTAACCAAAGCTGCAGCAGTCGTGGGAATGGGACCTTGTAGCTCCCTGAGAAGTTTCATAGTCTTGGAGTTAGGGGCTCGGGTGGAGATTAAACACTGTGGCTTTGTGTTTGCATTTCTCCAGTCTTCCCCTCGACGTTTGTTATGAAAATGTCGAGAAGACATAAAGAGCAGTGCTCAGTGAGCACCAGGCTACCCACCCCATAGTGTGCAGTCACCATCTTGCCGCATTTGCTCTGTTATAAACCAGTTCAGCCGCGCCTCTGTCCATCCATCCATCAGCTTCTTTTCTGATGCATTTCTAAATTGCAAGCCTCAGTGGATTCCCCCTCCCAAATACTTCATGTCTGCTGTTAGCCAGAGTTTAGTATTTGTTTATGTTTGGTGGTCTTTGGGGGTAAAATTTGTAGTGAAATACTCAACTCTCAACCATACCATTTGCTAAGTTCCCAAAAAACAAACCCCAGCAGCCAGGGTACAAACCATACTGCCATCTCAGAAGAGTCCTCTCCATCTCTTCCCACTGAACCCTGTCCTACTTCTGCCCCCAACCCCAGAGCCACACAAAGGTCTGAATTTTTTCAGCACAGATTTTCTAAAATGAAAATAGAACCAGAGAGTCAGTACTCACGATGGTATAAGCTGAGGCTGGGGATGTAGCTCGGGGGTAGAGCACTTTCCTGGGATGCACGAGGCCCTGGGTTTGATCCCCAGTCCCAAGAAAACACTCGGCAAGGTTAAGCCTCCTTTTTTTTCCCTCAGTACATTTATTGAGAGTCATCCAAGCTGTACGTGCATCATAGTTCCTTTATATTTTTATTTTATTTTTGTGGTATTTAACCTAGGAGCTTGAACATGCATAGCAAGTGTTCTTCCGCTGAGCGGCATCCCTGGCCCTTTTAATCAATCTTTTTTTGAGACAAGTTCTCATTAAGTTGCCCAGCCACCCTCAAGCTTGGGACCCTGCCTCAGCCTCTCGAGTAGCTAGGGTTCTAGATGTGTACCATTGCACCCAGCCTTTTACTTAGGGTATGAGTATCCCACTGTTTATCCATCCTCCAAAAGACAAACACCTGAGCTCTTTCCGGGTCGGGGCTATTATGAATCTTCTTGTATAAGTCTTAATTTTGACAACAAAAATCTTTAATTTGGGGGCTTAGATACTGAGGAGTAGGTACATACCAAGAAGTGTCTTTCTTGTGTTCTTTTTTTTTTTTTGGTACTGGGGATCGAACTCAGGACCTTGTGCTTTCGAGGCAGCCTGCAGCACCACTGAGCTAAATCTCCAGCCCAAGAAGGGTCTTTCTTTATAAAACAAGGCTGTCAGATATTTTCCCAGAGTACTTATTGTAATTTATAATGTCACCAGCAGCCTGTATGCACTGCAGTTCCCTTCCTGGCACCGCTAGTGCTGTGAGTCTTCAGTGTCACCATTCTGTGTCACCATTCTTTGTGAAGTCCCTGATCAGTTCTGTTGTCCATATTTTATCAGGCTGTCTGTCTCCCAACGGAGACAGTTGTAGAAGGTTATTACATATTCTGGACATGGGTCCTTATTTTGCAAATATTTAGTCAAATTTACGGCCCGGTTTATTTTCTTAACAGCACCCTTACTGGGCAGAAATTTTTTTTAACTTTGATGAAGTCTAATCAATTTTTCCTTTCTGTGTCCTAAGAAACCCCAAAATGGTAGCCATTCTTCCACATTTTCTCTAGAAGCTTTCTAGTTTGAGCATTTAGGTGTAACTCTGTGATTAATGTGAATTGCCTTTTCTGTGTATTGTCTGAGTCTGGGGCCAAGGTTCCTTCATTCTGAAAGAATGTGCAGTTATTTCAGCGCCAGTCCTGGAGACTCTTATTAAATTGCTTTGGTGCTTAAGTAAAAATCTAGCCGGAGTTGGTGGTGCACACCTGTACTCTCAGCACTCTGGGAGCCTGAAGGAGGAGGATCGCAAGTTCGATACCAAAGTGGGCAACTCGGTGACATAGCAAGACCCTGTCTCAGAATAAAAAATTAAAATGGCTGGGCATGCAGCTCAATTTGAAGGTCTTGGCTTTAATCCCCAGTACCACACACACACACACACACACACACAGTGTTTCCCTAATAAGTGTGGTTTTCAAGTGTGCATTTTAAATGCATGTTGTTATTTCTGAATAGCAGCAAGGAGGGCCTGGTCGCTCTGTGCACGCAGTTCCCGCATGGCCAGTTTTGCAGCACTTGCCTTGACCTTCAAGAGCCAAATGAAGCACTTAGTGGCCGCTGCAGCCAGGCCAAGCCACCTTTCCTGACCTGGGAAACCACTGAATATTAAAAATAGTTCAGTCTTTTGGGGTAATTTTTTAATCTCATAACTTACGTAACTTCACCTGAAATTTTTTTTTTTTAATTCCTAGTGATTCATGGAGTAAATCATTGCATTTGTCCAGGAGGGGAAATAGAATACCTGAAGGCAATTCGTGTTTCTGCTGGTTGGGAGCCACCCTCTCCTCCAGGTCATCTGGTGCCTGCTAACAGCAGTTTGGTTTGTCTTAACCACTTACCTGCTTCTTTCTTTTTCTGGTCATGCCATGAACTTGAACTTCAGCATGTTCTTGATGCTAGCTGGGCCTGGAAAAAATGGTACAGGTTCACCGACTGACAGGGTTTGTCTGTCTGTCTGTCTGTCTGTCTGTCTGTCTGTCTGTCTGTTGTGGTACTGAGAATTGACCCCAGGGCCTACACCTCCAGTCTTTTTTTTTTTTTGCTTTTTGAGACAGGGTCTTACCAAGTTACCAAGTTACCAAATTGTCCAAACTGGGCTCAAACTTTTGATCATCTTGCGTCAGCCTCCCAAAGTGCTAGTTTTACAGGCATGAACCTAACCAAGGGGGCCTTTGTAAAGTGGACATGTTTCAGACATCTGGGGGGTTGGGGGGGTTACTAGGATCAAACCCAGGGGTGCTCTACCGTTGAGCTGCACCCCCAGCTGTTTGGTGGTTATTTAAGACAGGGTCACTAAGTTGCTCAGGCTGGCTTCAAATTTGCCACCCTCCTTGGCTGGACTGCTGAGTATCTGGAATTACAGGTGTGCACTACCACGCTTGGCTAGACTGTTCTTCTCAAAAAAGGGTAACAAAAGAAGCCCTTTATCATTGGGGGGATCTGTGTTTCATAAGAGGAGTGGATCATCCTCATGCTGATCTTTGTAAAAGAACACAGGGAAAGACAAGAGCAGAAAGCCTGAAGCCCTGGCGCCCTGCCTGGCCGTGCAAGCCTGGACTTGGGCAGAGCCTTGAGGGGAAGGTAGAGACCCTGCAAGCACCACACCAGGCCCGGGCTGCTTTTCCATGGGGAGATCTTGCCAGGGTTCACACCAGCCTGAGAACCAGTCACCATCCCTTGAGTGCCTCTTCCTGCAGGAGGGGAGATCGGGCAGGGATCTTCCACCTCACAGCCCCTGCAGGTCTTCCAAGGCTGGACGATGGAATCTCTGTTGCTGACAGCCTTCTGAAGCTAGGCTGCCAGTGACACTATGACTGATGTGGCTCCCTGCCTGTTTCGTGGGCCTTTTGGGGTGGGGATATCTTCACTGAGCGGCACCATGGTCCAGTTTGCATAGCCACTTGTGGCTCTTTACCCAGGATCTGGGAACTTAGAGTGGTTCTTTTCACTCAGGAAGGACTCCTACTGGACAGATTGTTCTTCTCTTGTTGCATGAGGTAAAGCTGCACAGCATCTCTGAGCACAGTGCTCACAGATTACCTTATCCATAATGGTGACTTAAGGCTGAGGCATTTGCCCTGCTTTTGGAGTCTGGGGCTAAATGGGAAAAAGCGGAGAGTCTGGTATGTGTTTCTGCTGTCTTTACAAGCTTCTCCGGTTCTCCATCACCGGGGAGATTTTATCTGCCTGAATATGTGTGAGTCAGCAAGTCCTCGGGTCCTGGTTGGATGGCACAGTGGGTGCGCCTCACACAGCCTCAGAGCCTGCTTTGTCTCCCGTTTCCATTTGCTCACTCCCATGTGGACTCGGCCAGTGGCATCCTGAGTTTCCACTAATAACAGAGGCTGAGAAGCCGCATATTAGAGGCAGTGCTGGACTCTGCGATTGCCCGGAGGTGGGCCCCGGGGACTCTGCCCCGCTGGGCCTCGTCTCCTCCTGTGCCCCCCACCCGCTGACAGGAGGGAACAGGAGACGCCCACAGGTACTGCACCCTCTCCCCCGTTGTCTTTCCCCAGATGCTAGCGTTTCCTTCAGAGGGACGCGTTCAGGTCCTCCTTGAAAACATGTGTCCCTGCTTTCTAGCCCTTTCCATTATAAAACAAACTACTTCTGGGGTGTAACCCTTGCTTTCCAAAAGTAAGTTTTCTTACTGTGTTTTTCCTGTGATGCTAATAGCAAACGTGAACTCTAGTCTAAGCACTTCACTTTCGTTTTTCTTTGCAGTGCTGGAGATCAAACCCAGGCCCTCACACATGCTAGGCAAGTGCTCTCCCACTGAGCTGCACCCCAGGCAAGCTTTACTTTGCAGTTTCTGAAGCATAGGTACTTTCACTCCCATCTGAAGATAAAACTGAACCTCAAGCAGGTCCAGTAAGTTGCACAGAGGCCAAGGTCAGTGGCAAAGCTGGAATTCCAACACCAGCGTGACTACAGGCCCAGGTGCCTGACTGTGATTACCTCCTGCCACCCTCCCCTTCTCAATGCCGTGAGTGACCATAAAGCCTGGGCTGGTTCCTCAGGCCTAGCTTTCCGGAAGGGAGATTACAGTATCAGGGAGCAGAAACATTTTAAAGGCTCTTGACATATATTGCCAAGTTGCATTCTAATTTAGGCCCCTGCCAGAGGACTACAAATCCTGAGTTGCAGTCTCCAAAACGCCCACCTCATGAGCAGCTAATCAGTTCAATTATAGCAGGGACATCTAGCGTTCTCCAGCACAGCAGGATAACTGTAGCTCACATTGGTTTATTATGTAGTGTATGAAGAACTAGAAGAGAGTTCCCAGGCTACACAAAGAAAAGAGGGCCGGAAATGCTAATTACTCTGATTTAATCCCTGTATACATTATATACACACATCAAACTATCACACTGTTCCCCATAAACATGTACAATTAAAATCAGTTTAAAATTTTAGACAGAGTTGCACGGAAGGCAGCAGAGGGCCAAAGCAAGACCTCCACCTGCAGGAAGAGCAGACACAGGGTCTTGATCTCATCTTTGAAGCTCTTTATTCTCAAAGTGTGGTCCATCCCAGCACCATCAGCTCAGCTGTGGACTAGCAGGCAGTGCACATTCTTGAGCCTGCTCCAGTGCTGTGAAGTCAGAAACTACAGGGCTGGGGCCCAATAGTCTGGAAACATGGCCCCTGGGGGATCCTGGCTTTGGAGCCACTGATGTAGGGAAATGGACCACACTTGGCTATGGCCAAATCTGCGAGGGCTGGGAGCTCATCCAAAGGAAATGTCATTTCCATTTCTTATTCGCGTTAAGAGTCTGCACTTCTGAAATTGATCATGCCCCAAGTTTGGATAGTGTGGCCCCTGTGGAAAATGTCACTGCCATGTTAAGAGTCTACTCTTGCAAATACTTGTCATTCATACCGGGAGGTTTCTTATGTGCTGGGCCCGTTATTATCCATTTTGTATCCTGGAGATGGGAAGCAAAAGCTTAGAGCAGCTTAGAAACACCCTGAGGTCACACAGCCCATGTGGCAGAACTGAAATGTGAGTCCCGCCTGTGTGCCAGCGCTTCGGCTCCCAGCAGCCACAGTGCCTGAGAAGAGTCAGTTCACGTATGGCATGGGAGAGCCTTGTGAATGATTGGCTGTGTTGCTCTGGAATCTTCCAAAGCTCTGAGCGCCTCCAGAAGTGGCTTCTCCCTGCATTTCCTGTCTTTGGACCCTGTTCCAAAGCCAGTCTCAACCACATGTGACTTTTGCCGGTTGGCATTCCCTAGCAAGCTAGTGACATGGTCTTTCACTTTCCATCCACCTGTTTTCATTCAGCTCTGAGGAATTGTTTCTGGAACATTCAGACTCCAGGCATCCCTTGTAGGTGTCTCACTTGTACATCACCTTGCTCATGTCATTTAGTGTGATGAATTCTCACATCCTCTCTTGAATGCCAGATGGGGCCAGGGGCACTTGGAAGGGGGCAGAGTACAGGGGAGAGGGACACTGCTGGGGGTTCTGGTGTTTTGCCTGTTTTGCTTCTCCCTTGAGGATCTAGACTGGCGCTGTGGCTCCCCTGGGACCAGGCTCAGCTCCCTGGGGTGGTGGAGGGGGTACCAGGGCCAGAGCCGAAGGGGAAGGTGAGGTGCAGCCACCTGGAAGGGACCCACGGAGAGCCTCAGGAGGTGCCGGAAACAACAGTGAAACAGAAGAGACTCCAAATACTTCTTTTTGGGGACAGGGAGGGAAGCCGAGTGAAATGTGAAGAGGTGTCTGAAAGCCCAGAGGAAACCGGCAGGCCCTTCCAGAAGTTCTATTTGCGGTAAGAAACCTTGGCATGGGGCAGCCGGCTCCACTGCAAAAATAGACCAATGTGCCGAGAAACAGCTTCATTTGGGAAATAAATGTCCTCCGTGGGGAAGTGAGGTTCAGCTGAGACTCTAGAAGGTTCTGCCCTTCTCCTCTGCTTCCTTCTGAACCCCAGAACCAAAAAGAGTGAGGGAAACCAGAAAAACATTTTAACATAGCCATGACTTTGCTGTCAAAAATGGGGCCAGTGTGGTTCTGCTGCCTGTCTCGAAAGCACAAGGTCCCAAGTTCAATCCCTGGTACCAAAAAAAAAAAAAAAATACACCGAGAAAACAAAAAACAAACAAAATTTGGGCCGGGGATTTAGCTCAGTGTTTTCGCCGCCTGCTGCGCAAGCGCAAAGACCCGAGTTCGATCCTGGGTACCAAAAAAAAAAAAATGGGGCCAGTGAGGGCACAGGACAAAAGGAACATTTCAGATCAGGGTCTGGACACCAGCTGGGGTCCCAGCCCCTCCAAGGAGCTGATGTGTGGGATTGAGGACCAGCTCCCCCTTCCTTTTGTGTGCCTCCTTTACTTCCTCACAGGTGAGCAGAGGAAGGTTAGGGCTAGACAGAAGACAATTACCTGACTAATGGGCATCAAAGACAGATGCTCCTTTAAAACACCTGGTTGACAGGCTGATGGGGAGGGCGTGTGACACAGCCCTGAAAGGAGATTCTGGAACATGACACCATCGCTTCTGCATATTAAGGAAGCTCACATGGCTCTTTTCTGTGGCAGACTTGGACTTCTTAGCAGGGCCCCGGTCTCTGCAGCAGCGAGAGAACAGCTATAACCAGCTGTAGACACGGATCCACTCCATAGCATCAGGGTGGGGCCAACTGGCAGTTTGCAGGGTGGTCATTGAATAACCCTCCACATCTTCCTGACCTGGTCTCCCCGCCACCAGAAGTTCACTGTGATTAGACATCAGTGTCATCAAGTTCTTTAGAAAGGGCATTTTATGTTATGGCCTGAGCACTTTTGTGAAAAAAAGTCATCAGGAGGGAGTATGAAAAGAAGATGGTGAACAGGTACAGGGTGGCAGCTAGGGAGGAGGAATGACTTCCAGTGTTCCATCACAGTCACAGTAGGGTAAATACAATTGACAACAACTAACTATATATTTCAGAATAGCTACTAGAAAGGATTTTGAAGGTTCTCAACACATATGATAAATGTTTGAGGTGATCGATGTGTCAGTTACCCACTCTGATCATTACATGAAGTATATGTGTTAAAATGTCACACTGAACCTCATGAATATGTATAACTTGTGTTAATTAAAAATAAATACATGTATATATTTTTTAATCATAGGGAGCTTATACCTAGTGTCTCTCAGCCAGAACCAGGAGCTGTCAAGCAGACCAGGAGCACTTGCCCTCTGCCTGCAGAAGATGAGGGGGGCCTATATATCCACCTCTCTGTCCTCCTAGTGGCCAATGACTGCCCGCATCTGGCTGTGGCTTTGCATTTAGCTGCCACTCGGCCTGCTGGGTTGAAAGACCAAATGTCATCTGGCATTACCAGCCTGGCTTGCCAGCAGTGCTTCCATTTTCCAAATATGGCAGGGCAGCCCTCGGAGGGCTTAGGCAAGGATCAGAGAGGGACCTCCCGCCCCATGGGGAAAGAGCCTCACACTGTTAGATGCATCCTGGAGGGAGAACGAATGGCAGGACCTGTCCCAGGACCTTCAGTAACTGGTGGCTGAGACCCCCACCCTAAGAAAAGTGGGCAGGGAAGTGAGGGGAGTGTCTCAGGAAGACTCGCAGGCTGGGGTACAGAGGGAGGGGAAGGACCTCCATCCAGATGCAGAAGTGGCCATGCATTGAGGTCCATCTGCAGCCTGGACGTGATAGGAGAGTGGGTTTCACAAATGCGCATAGGAAACCCTTCACCCATATATGTGCCATGTTGCCCTGAACAGGAAAAGGTGGTTTTCCATTTCTTTGAGCTGAACTCCTTCAGTGATGTGATTCAACTACAGCCAGCCATTCACGCCACCCCAGCCTCCTAGCTGTGGGAAGTGGGCATGTGACCTGGGACCAGCCAATCAGAATGCTCCCTTGCTATAAGGAGGGGTCACATGATTCAGATAGGCCAATCTTTCCCTTCCTTGCCCAGTGGAGAATTATGAATGCTGGAAGTGGTATAGAATCAGGTTTTTAGTCCACACAGCCCATTTGCCATAGGAGAAAAGGAGGACAACTCAATTTGAGGGCAGTGAGCCCCAGGTGGCACAGATTTTGGGCAGCATTATTTGCCAAAAGGAAAGTTATATTGTAACAATTTACACCATTTTAACATAGCAAAGAAGATTTGAGTACATTGAAATACAGTTTTTTTCTCTATACGTTATTTTAATTTTCTATTTAAATAGGTTAACATATTCAGATATGTTGGAGGGCTGCAAATTGAAAGACCACCCTTAGTGGCATGAGTTGTAGCTAAGGCATTGAGGGGCACGTGGATGGCAGCCACATGTGGGTCCACATATACCCAGTGCTAGTTCCACCAGCCTTTCCAGTTACATGGAGTAGCGGGGATTATAGGTGTGCACCACTTCACCTGGCCACACTTCTCTTTGCTTTGTACTAGTTTACAGTTACTATGAGATGTGATCAGAAAATATGGTGATTGTTAAAATTTTTTAAAATACTACAGTAAAAGACACAATGACATTAATTCCCCTCAAAAGCGTTGCTGGGTGTGGTGGCGCACACTTGTAACCCCAGCGCTCCAGAGGCTGAGACAGGAGGATCGCTGGAAGGTTGAGGCCAGCCTCAGCTACAAAGTGAGTTCAAGGCCAGCCTGAAATACATAGTGAGACCCTGTCTCAAAAATAAAAGAAGAAAACATTGTTTCCTCTTAGTTGGAGTTCTGTGTCTGACACTTGCCACCATAAGAGCCAAGACTAATACAGGGAATATTTGGATAAAGGAAGGATAATGCAGAATGTGAAAAGAGTTTACTAGTGTGTTCAAGACTAAAAGTCAGAGGCACTGATACAAGGGCTGATCAAAATATATGGTTAATGTTTAAATTAGAAACCGTAGGGCCAGGGATTTAGCTCACTGGTTCCACTGCCTGCCTCGCAAGCACAAAGTCCCGAGTTCGATCCCCAGTACCAAAAGAAAAGAAAAGAAACTGTATTACAGGTAAAGACATATTGCCATTAATCCCCCCCAAAATACTCTTGCTTCAAACACACTCACCCTATCATTCTTGCCACTTCCTGAAGCAGTTGTGGAAGTCCTCTTTCATGAGTGTCTTTATAAGGTGTGATTAAAAAAAGTTCAGTGAATGCTGCTGCTGAGTGCCATCCAACAGAAGTGCAGGCTTGTAAAAACATCATGATATGTCCTCATCCACCTTATTCACCGGATCTGACACCGTATGACTTCTGGCTGGTTCCAAAGTCAAAACAACCATGAAAGGTCAACATTTTGAATCAACTCAGGACATCGAGGCAGCCACAACAATGCAAATGAAGGCATGAAAAGCCTTTCAGAACTGCTTCAGAAAGTAGCAACAACAATGAGATAAGTATGTTTGAAAGTGAGGGAGATTAATACCAATGATTCTTTTATTTAAAAAAAAAAAATCTAAACATTCACCATATTTTATGATCATACCGCATAGTAACTGTAAACTTGTACAAACTGGCAAAAAGAAGTGATGCACACCTGTAATCCCAGCTACTTGTGAGACTGAGGCAGGAGGATCACAAGCTTGAGGCTGTCCTGGGAAACTTGGTGAGACCCTGCCTCAAAATAAAAAGGCTGGGGATGAAGCATAATGGTAGAACACTTACCTGGCAGGCCTGAGGACCTGGGTTCCATGCTCAGTACAACAAAAATAAATGAATAAAAATAAAAAACAACAAAAATTGGGCCGGGGATTTAGCTCAGTGGTTCCACTGCCTGCCTCGCAGGTTCAAGGTCCCAAGTTCAATCCCCGGTATCAGAAGAAAAAAAAAATTTAAAAACAGGGAAATACAAGGTAAGCTTCATAAAGTCTTTTCAGATCCCTGAGAAGTGGCAGGTTCAGGGGTTGGTAACCAGTTAAAAGAAGGTACTGCTATGGGTCAGGGTGAGAGAATGGGAGGTGAGGCACTGCCTCACCCTGGAACAGGTGTGCAGGAGTTGGTAGGTCCCGCAGCTGGCACTGGCGTTCCCAGGTGAGGGGATGCCCCATCTCAGCCAGAGCTTCCCCTGCTACTCTGTGAAACTGATTAGGATCTCGGGGGGGAGGTGGCCTTGTGCCTTGGGGCTCTCTGCCTGCCAGTCCCCCCTTTAAGAGTACATCACTTATGCCCTGCCCAGGACAACACTGCCGCCTTCCAACACCATCCCAGTGTTCTCCCAGACCATCTGTTATTCAGAGTTTTTGCTCTTTCATGCCAGCCTTCCCTATCACTTACTTTGAAATTGGGACTGTTTCCCAAACCAATAATTTCCTGATCCACAATGTTCCTTGCTGAGTGTCCCCACAGGAGAAGCTGAAAGCACGATGGATAAAATTACTGATCTTTGCTTCCTGCCCTGGTAAAGGGATTGTTTTGCCAGGCTGCTATCGCATACCACCTCTGTCTGCTGCCTCAATTTGCTTGGTGAAAATTGTCTGAATGATGGAGCAGGAGTTCCAGATGACCCCCCTCACCCCCACTGGCACAAGATCTCTAAGAGCATTGAAAGAAATATGATTTACAAGAAAATAAATTGGAAGTGAAGCCTAGCACTCACTTGCTTTTGACTCTGGATAAGCTTTATGTACCTATGAACCTCAGCTTTCATCTCTGTATAGTTGGATTAATAATACTGCAGTGCATACAGTTAGGCTGAACTGTAAGTAACAGTACTGAACTCATCAGCTTAAAGCACTCATGTGAAAGACTCACGAGGCACCCAGCCCAGGCTAGTAAAAGATCCAGCCAGGTTTCTGGCCCTGGCTTCTATTCCAAAGGTCACCTCATGATCAAAGGTGGCTGCCAGAGCTCTTGCCATTATGTTCCAGACTGCAAGAAAGAGAAAGAACATTCTGTCTCATCTTTTAACAGGCCTTCCCAGAAGTCCACCACAAGACTTCTGCTTACATTTTATTGGTTAGAATTTAGTCACATGGCCATATCTAGCTGCAAGAGAGTCTGAGAAAGGAGGTTGAGGTAAATAGACACTACAATGGCCCCAATAATCTCTGTCTCTTGGTTTTCACTTCTTTGTGTAATTTCTGCCCCTTAACTGCAGGCTGGAACTGGTAACTTTCTTCTAACCAATAGAATATGGCACAAGTAATGGGAAGTCACTTTTGAGAATAGGTTACAAAGAGATCCTGGCTCCTATCTTGGGTGTTTTCTCTTGCTCTGAGGAAAGTGACCTGCCATGTTATGAACTGCCTTCCAGAGAGGCCCATATGGCAAGGAACTGATGCCTGAGCAGCTATCAAGGATCAATGCTCTTGGTCCTGTAGATTCATGAGTGATCTTAGAATAAGGTTCTTACTTGGCCTCTCCTGGCTGACCCCTTGACCAAAACTTCTTAAGATACCTGAGCCAGAGGACCCATAAAATTGTAAGATAATAAACAGGTTTTGTTTGTTTTCAGCTGCTAAGTTTTGGGTTTACTGGTTATACAGCACTAGCTGACTAATAAAATACTTTTCTAGCTAGGCACATTCCCAGGTTTGTGTTACTGAGAAAGAAGAGGAAGGTGGTGATTGGGAAGCAACCAACAGCAGCTGCCAGAGGACTGCTGTGAGCATGAAATGAGGTACATATGAAATGGATCCACATACAATTTGCCAGCACCAGGAAGTACACAGAGAGAAGTATTTGTTAACGAAGGGCCATGTCCAGTGCCTCTTTCCCAGGCTTCCCACCAGGCTCTTCCAGGAGACACAGTGGGACTGTATTTTATGTGTGTTTCTCCCTGGCATCTTCCTCTAATCTTTTACAGTTCAGACCCCTATCCCCAATCCAAGCAGGAGAATGATAGCATCTGTAGAACTAAGGGTCCCCTAGCTAGTAAGCTCACAGAATGGTAAGATTTCAGAGGGAAACCCCCTTAAATCCAGGGCCCCACATACCAACCTTGCCCATAGTCACATAGCCTCAAGGCAGATTGGATGCCTTTGGAGAATGACTTGACTCTCTGATCTGCCTTCTTCCCTCACAGCTATGCTGAGGCAGAACCCAAATGTACAGTAAAGCATTTATAGAATTCCATAATTGTTTTTTAGATGAAGCCGAGTGTGGTGGCATGTCTCTGTAATTCCAGCTATTTGGGAAGCCAAGGCAGCAGGATCAGTTGAGCCCGTGAGTAGGCAGCATAGCAAGACTCAATCAATCAATCAGTCAGTCAGTCAGTATTGCACTAACCCAATGTTCTCTCTCCCAGGAGAGTCAAGATCAGGTCTATGGGACAATGGCACTCCTTCAGTGAAAGAGCATCATGCTCCCTTATGGTTTTCCTTCTGGCCCTTGGAGGCCCCTGCTCTTGTCTCTGTGCCTTAGCACTGAACATGGTCCCTGCGGTCATCCCCAGGCCCTGTTTCTTGTGGAGTAGCTTGAAGAAAAGTCCAGAGTGTGCACCCTGGGATCCCACAGTAATGCATCTTCTTTTTGGGGGGGGGGTACTGGGGGTTGAGCTCAGGACCTTGTGCTTGCAAGGCAGGCGCAGTGCCACTGAGCTAAATTCCCAGCCCTGAATATTCTTAACTAAGGCCAGAGTAGAGCCCAGATTATTTCCCTTCCCGCAGGACACAGGATTTATGTCACCTGGAAGAGTGTGGACACGTGCATCATTTCATACACAGTGAAATCCCAGTTTTTAGAATAGCTCGAGACCAAAGGCTCAGTGAAGCAAGTGTTCTGCGGAGGAAAAAAGGTTAAGTCATATGATTGTTTTTCCCTTTGATCTTCCTAAATAATGACGGAAGGGCTAGGGATGTTGCTCATGCATGTTCTTAGCACAGACAAGGCCGGGGGTTCAATCTCCAGCACCAAAAGAAACAGAAAACATGAAAGATAAAATATGCCAATATTCCTGCTCCCTATTTATATCAGTGAATTAGCGAGCTTAATAAAAATATTCACAGAGGCTCAATTGCCTTATTAAAAGTCTTTACCAGTCATTTAAATTTTATAAAAGCAGCAATTTTATTAAAATCAGAGCGTCTGGGGGAAAATGGTATTATTCTCCTATTTAATGCTGTGTCAACATATTTCTGTATGCTTTTAAAATTGGCATTGATATGTGTTAGAGTGAGGCTGCAGAGGCTTACTGGGGGGTCCTGGTTGTAACATGCAGGGAGTCCTCACCACGTGGAAGCTGCCTGAACTGCTTGTCGCTAATGTCCCTGGAACACCAAATTTAAACGGTCCAGCATGAGCTAGAGAGATATGCAGAAAGTTGGCACAAGAAAATGATGCAGCCCTGAAGCACTTGTCTTCTTTGGAGAACAGACTGACTGAGCAGAAAGCACTTCGTCTGAGAGTGTGTGAGTGTGAACACGTATGTGTGTGCGTGGGGGTGGGATAAGAGTACACATGAGGCAACTACTTAGCGCTCTGGGAGGCTGGGGCAGGAAGATCACAAGTCTGAGCCCAGCCTAAGCAGCTTAGCAACTTAGACCCCATGTCAAAATAAAAAATAAAGGACTGGGGATGAGACTTGGAGTGAAGGCCCTGGATTCACCCCTAAGTGCCTGAAAAAGAAAAAGGCAACTAATACTTTTATTCTGATAGCGAAGAGGGGAATTCGTGAGGCAGCTAGGAGTTGGCTACACGTCCAGCATGAGCCTTCAGCATGACAGTTCCAGAAATGTATTAGGTGATTCTTTTTCTTAACACCAGGTTCTGCCATTATATACCATTATATACCAGCCTGGGAACTGGTACCTTCGACAGCACTGGTGCTAAGAAGAGCAGGTCTTAGCGCTGAGGCTTCCCTCTCTCCTCAAGAGGAAGCCTCAGCTTCTCCCCAGTCTCGAGGACCTGTCCGAATCCTGCCTCGGCGCTTCCCCAGCCATCTCTGCATCCCACCCCACAACCCTCCCCCTGCTGTCTATCTTTCCTCTCCGGTCTCACCTTCTTGGGGATAGTGAAGAACTGAAATGCTCAAACTCTCCTTGCTCAAATCGTTCCCATTTATTGGAGACCATGCTTTCCTAGCCCAGTTCCTGCTATAAAATCAGAATGATGACTTCAGGGAAAATAGCCCAGCCACAGTTTCCGTATTGGTGCCTCCATCCATGTACTTTTACCCCACAAGTCAGTTTTCTTTCTGTTGTCCCAGATGGGAAACCATCTCCAACTGGCTTAGGAAAAAAGAGCACTTATAGGCCTACATAATTGAAAAATGCAATCACAGTTGCTAGCTTCAGGAAGAGTGAGATCCAGATGTTCAAACAGGGCTCCAAGAATCCCTCTCCTGGCTGTCGGTTCGACTTTTCTCCATAGTGGTTCCATTCAAGCACAGATTTCCCTCCTCAGAGTTCCAAGATGGTAGCACATGACCCCAGGCTTCTATCCATCCCCTCCCGACTGCCCAGGGGTAAGCACCTGCAGAAGCCCCCATCCAGTCTTATTGGTGCTGACTGGGGCAGCTCTCCATTCCTGAACCAATCACTGCCTCGAGTGGGAGGCATTGTTTGGCCATCTCTGAAGCTAGGAATGGCATCTTCTCTACCCAAATCACATACATTGGGAGTGTGGAGGGACACATTTTCAAAGGGAAATATGGGCTCTGCTGCTAGGAAGAAGAGGAAAGGAGGCTGGACAGACTGGCAGTGACAATGGACCTTGTCCTGGCCTGGCCCACCCCACGCCCCAGCTGAGGTCAGGGCAGGGACGGGTGGCAGTGGGTAAGGGTGCGGTAATGTTGGGGGCCGGCCTCTGCCCTGCCTTCTGGGCACTGTGCAGGTGGATCCCCTGCCCCGAGTGGGGAGCGGTGCTGGGCTGCACAGTGTCACCCCAAATTTCATAGCCCCCTGACCTTATTTGGAAAGAGGGTCTTTGCAGATGTAGGCAACATGAAGTCCTGTTATAGTAGAGTGGGCCCCATGTCCCATATACTGTGGTTTTTTTCAAGAAGAGGGACATTTGAACACAGCTGCACACAGGAAAATGCCATGTGACGGAAGAGCAGAGACTGGAGTGACAACAGCCAGAAGCCCAGGTGGGCCAAGGTTTGCTCCAGCCACGGGAAGCTGGACGAGGCCGGGAAGGGAGCAGGCCCAGTGCACAACTTGATTTTGGACTTCTGCCCTCCACAACTGTGAGACAACAAATCTGTATTGTTTTAAGCCACAAGTTTGTGGTAATTTGTCAGGGAGCCCTGGGAAACCAATACAGGAGCAGACAGACACTGGTCAAATAAGCACACAGCTGTGAACTTACTTGGGACCAGAGAAGGGTCCAGGGCTGTGTCAGGGAGGGGTCCCCTGAGACTCCAGGTCAGAGAAGGAGTTAACAAGGGGGTGGAGGGAGGCATGTCAGCTCAAAGGGACCCATGGGGAAAGGTCCTGGGTCCTGGGTCGGGTAGTTCCCTCCGTAAATTCAACAAGCATCCAGGCCACTGGAGGCTCTCAAATGAGTAGTCTTGGCCACAGAGGGCTTTTCAGAAGAAGAAAGTGGGCAGGTGTGGCGGCTCGTGACAGTAGTGTCAATTTGGCGCCTGCAGTTTTCACTCCACCCAGTTCACGTGTTTACCAATGTTACCAAACTGGCCCCTGAAGGGAATTTGCCGGCCAGGCCCTGGCCTGTGAGGAGCGAGTGCCCACAGCAGCCTCCGCCCTGTCTTGCGGAGTCAGTGCCTTGTTGCTCTGGCTGGCTGCGGTGTTTGCTGTTCCCTACAAACAAAGGCGCTGGGAATTTACTGCTGCCTTTCATCGCCTTGGGAGAGCTCCTCGGGCCTGGCTGCAGATGTGGCTGGCTCACAGGAGCCCAGACTGACTTGCAGCAGCCAGGGAGGCAGGCGGTTCTGGGGGGCTGGGTCCTGGGGTGGGGCCTAAGGCTGCTCAGGAGAACTGGAGTTTTGTTTTCTGCAGGAGCCCAGCCACACACCCTGGGTGCAATCCCTCCATGCTTGTTTGTTTCCCCACTAATCCAGAGGAGTTACCCCAACAGCTCCGCCTCTGAAAAACTGGGTCCATAACTATACCCCCTCGGTGATGCAGTTGTGAGAATTATGGAGATTATTTGCTTTCCTTTAGCAACTATTTCTTGAACAGCTAGTAGGTCCTAGATCCCACGCTAGATGCAGGATGATGCTATAGAGAACACAGCAAGGCAGATTCACATGCTCTTGTGGAACTGATGTTCTCGAACAGGGGCCTGCAGAGTGGGGCTCACCCGCCACATCTGACTTGCTGCCTGGTTTTGCATGGACTGTGTTACGGTTTGGATCTAGATGTCTCCTCACAGCCTCACGTGGTCATAGGCTGGATCTAGAGTGTGTGAAGCTGGGATTGATTCACGACGCAATGCTAGGCTCCGGGCACTAGGATTAAGGGTGTGTGTGCTGCCTACTTTTAAGTAGTCTGAATAAGATAAAAGGGGCAGGGAGACGCTGTTAAATTCTCTTGCAACCTTGGCTGCCTTGTGGGTGCCATATTGTTCCTCCTCTGTGATGCCTGTTTGTCTTCCCTGCCTTGGAGCCAGCCGATTATGGACTGAAACCTCTACGAACTGTAAGCCAAATAAACCCCTTCCCTTTTAACTTTGGTGTCAGGTATTTAGTCCCAGCAACTAGAGAAAGGTAACTAACACATACTGTGAAATAAGAATGCTTGCACCCACCCTTCTCTCTCTTTCAGTGCAGGACCTCATGAATGCCAGGCACGCACTCTACCGCTAATCTACACTTCCAGCCCAGATTTGTACTTTTAAATAGACAAAAGTCCAAGTAGTCCAAAGAATAACAGGATTTCATGACACATGCAAACTATATGAAATTCAAATTTCAGTGTCCTGAATAAGCTTTTAGGGTACCAGCCACGCCCATTGGTTCATGTATTATCTGTGGCTGCTTTTGTGAGATACTGACAGAGTTGGTAGTTGAAACAGTGACCCCTTATAAGGCCTGCAAAGTTGAAAATGTTTGCTATCAGGCTCTTTCCAGACAACATTTTTCCACCCTGGCTCTAGTTTCTTGTGGTTCCAAATGTGGTTTCTAGACTAGTATCAGTGTCACCTGGACATGTGTTAGGAAGCCAGACCTCCGAAGCCCGAGCTTGTGCTGTAAAAAGCCGCCCAGGTGAATCTTGTGCATGTGAATTCCAGTGAGAAATGTGCTGCTGAGTAAATATGAGCTATCCGGGTGGGTGGCTTAAAGGTCCAAGAAAGCAGCCCAGGCCCTGACCCTCAGAACCTGCACTTTCCTTTAAGTGGTAAAGGAGCTTTGCAGGTGTGATTACATGAAAGCTCTTGAGGTAAAGAGGGTTGCTCGGATTACCCAGGTGGGCCCAATGATGAGATCACGGGGATTCCTCTGGGGCTACGGGCAGGAGGGGTGGGATGAGGAGCAGCCGCCACACAAGCAATGCCAGTGATCTCCAGAGTCTGGGAAGGACACGGGAACGACGTCTCCCTTGGAGCCCCCGGGAAGAACGCAGCCCTGGACACTGTGACTGTCAATCTCTGACCTCAGAACCGTAAGGAAATCATTTTATATTATTTAGTTTTTGGTAAATTGGTACAATGGCAGTAGGAAACTAGTACTGCTACCATCGCTGGTGTGATTGTGGCAGGTGTCTGTTGCATGATGGCGAGTCACAGACTCTCTCTGAACTTCAGCTTTTCTCTCTGAAGTTGGAGACAATCCCTTTTCCTTTCTCGGATCATTGAGTCTGACCTGACCATCCTGTGTGTCAAGTGGCTTCATGAAATGTCAGCCACCCTAACTATTGTTGATGTCATTTTAGCAGAGGTAGCAGCCAAGGGCTGCCTCACTGTGACCTTGGACAACTTATGGGACATCCCTGAATTGGAGTTCCTCCTTTACAAGGTGGGGATCATGTTGGTGGCTACCCTGCAAGGCAGCTGTGGAGCTGAAATGTGACTCTGGGCCAGGCTGTGCTTAAGGAGAATGCAAATATGGTTCCCAGCCATTTGGAGACTGCAGAAATCAAGCCTCTAAATGGGGCGAGCTCCCCAGGAGACTGATCCAGGCCCTCTTTGTTGAGTCTCAGCCTCAGCCTGGCTGGTAGGGATGTAGATGACTCCTCTCCCTCTGTGCCCTTGCTCTTCCCCAGGGTGAACACCTGGACCCCACTGCCTCTGCCTGTTGGACGCTTCTGCCCTCTGTTCAGGAGCACATCGCCTCCCAGAGGAGGAGAAGGGGCAGCTGAGCTGGTCCAGGTCTGGGTGATCCAGGGCCCCTCTGCACTCTGAGGTGAGGCCGCAGGACCCCACTGCCCAGGCTGGGCTTTGCTGGCTTTGCTGCTGTGGCACCTGGGCTGGGGGTACTACAGAAAGGCAGACTGAATATTGTGGCCCTCGGTGCCCAGGACAGGACATGGCACAAGTTAAATATGTGCTGGGCCCTAGAATGACTGAATAACCACAAAGCCCCCCGCATAGTTAAGGAGGGAGTCTGTGTTTGTGGCGCCTCTCCCGAGCCCCAGGAAGTGGCCTTAGACTCTGAAGGAAAGAGGTGGCATTTCCTGAGGGCCAGGTGTGATGCTAGAGCTGAGCCAAGTGCTCACCTGGGCCTCTCATTTACCCAGGCCAGGCGTGGAGAGGTTAAACAGCACCCGGGGCTGGGGCTGCAGCTCAGGGGTAGAACACTTGCCTAGCAGGTGTGAGGCCCCAGGTTCCATCCCCAGCACCTAAAACCCAAAAATCAGTGAAGGCTGATGTCCAGGGCTGCACACCCGGAGTCGGGTGTGAGGCAGGCATTGGTGAGGTGGATGCAAGCCTTGGTGTCCTTTAAGAAAGAGGGGCTGTTCAAGGATTTTGCTCTTCGTTCTTGGTTTTGCTGTTTTTTCCCCAGATGATGGAGCATCTCTAGGAAATGTTGCTCTAGAATAGTAAAATTTAAGGAGTTCATGGAAGACAATAAGGGAGGTGAGATAATCCAGCAACCTGGAGGCTTTGTTTACACTTCTATCTCACCATGTGGCCAACGGCTAGGGTGAGAAAAGGTCCAGGTTGCCCGGGACTGTCTTGTTTTAGCACTGGAATTCTCATGTCCCAGGAAATCCCTTAGTCTGACCAAGTGAGGACGGACGGTTGGTCCACGCTGCAATCCGTGGGTGGAAGAGTTTCCACCGGAACCCCTCATCCCAGCCACCTGCCTGCTGCCCGTTCCTGGAGGTGTCAGCAGAGGGGCAGCCTAGCTTCTCACCACCGGCCTCCTCACTTCCCATCCCCAGCCCTAAATGCTCCTCCCTCTGGGACCCTTCCAACAGCGAAGTTGACATCACTGGGGGACAGATGCGTGTGAGGTAGGGCCCAGGCTGCCTGGAGGGGACTTCCCACCCCCGTCATCTCTGGTGGAGAAGCAGTCAGGTAGGGTGAGTGCCCTTCCGCCTGTCCCTTTGTCCAAGAAGCATCTTTTCCCTGAGTCTGCTGCCCCAGGTGAGCGTCCTCTGAGCCCGGCTCCTGTAAAGAAGGGAGGAGCAGTGGGAATGAGTGTCTTGCGTCTGGGTGAATTGGTGGTGGGCAGGTAGGGAACAACCTCAGACACTGAGCTGGGTGCTAGAGGATCTGGGGAGCCGGGCCCTGGGCTTGGCTGCAGTGTCAGTTCCTCATCCCCGAGCTGGGTGTGGGCAGCTGAAGGACAAGGGTCAGGCCTCACTCCGCCCCACCCTGTGCCCCCCACCTATCACAGGGCGTGGCCGGTTCAGGCTCACTGAACCCTTTTTGGATGCGGAGATATGAAGATGGTGCTAACTGTCCTCTCTGTATCTGTTTGCTCAGCTATGGGATGAAAGTGCCCTCCCACCCAGCCCACTGTCAGTCTGCCCGCTGGGCGCCTGGAGTGGCTCAGGCTCCCCACGGGTCCCCAACCCCAGCTCCCTCCTGCCTCGGGGCTCAGCAGGAAGGTTCTCTGTGCCTGGGACACATCATCCAGCTCTTCTGCCACTGTCTCTGTTCACACTGGAGACCTCTGCTCACGCTGACTCTAAGTCCTCCCCAGGAATGGACACTCACCTCCTCTGTCTGTCCAAGCACCTTGTACTCTTTTTTTTCCTTTTCCTCTGGCACTGGGGATTGTTGAACCCTGGTCCTTTTTGCACTGAGCCACATCCCAAGCCCTTTTAATTTTTGAGATAGGGTCTCACTAAGTTGATAAATTGCCCAGGCTGGGTTTGAACTAGCAGTTCCCCTGCCTTAGGCTCCCAGGGTGTGAGGATTATAGCCATGCACTGAAATACCGAGCATGCACCCTGTTTTTTTCCTTCATGGGATTGTTACCTTATCTATTGCCCATTTATTCATTTTCTTTGAAGCTGGGCTCCGTCTAACTTCTTCCCTCTACATCCCCATCTGGCAAAGAGTGGATACTCTATAAATTCCTGTTGAATGAATACATGACCAAGGAGGGCATTACTGGCCCTGTTGTCCCTCCCCACCCACTGCATGTTATGTCTCCACGTTTCTGATGTACTAAGGGTGCCAGCTATGGCGCTAAGCCTCCCAAGGAGCAACCCTCTGACAGGGACACCCCTAGTTAGGCACAGAGAAGCAAGGTGACAGGATTCAGCTCACACGGCACCCAGCGGGAAGCCAGGATTCCACCAAAGTTGCTCCAGCTAAAGGCCTGTTTATGAGTCCCACAGCCAGGAGGTCCCGGCCCTGCCCTCTCAGGGGCAGAACTAATTTTGAGGGGACTAACGCCCCAGCTGGACAGCAGCCCGGCTCAGACCAGCCCATGTTGTAGCCCCGTGGTGCATTTCCCTGATGCGGTTTCCACTTGTTTTCTGTAACCTGAGCTTCCCCAGCGCCTGGCACCAGGATCCGTGAGTTGGTGGCCTCAGCTCAGGTTCCTGATTTCCTTGGATGATTTTAGATGATTTTACTGGCAGAGAAAAGCCCAGCCAGGAGGCAGTGAGGAGAGGAAGCCCCTTCCCCATGACCTAGTAGCAAAGGGGCACCAATACTTAGCAGTGCCCTCAGGGACTGCCGGGCTGGGTGGAAAGGGCCCGAAGTTGTTCACTGCACCCTACGGTCCCCAGCTCACAGTGGGGGAGCCCAGGGCTCCGAGAGGTTGAGCGACCTACCCGGAATCACACAGCCAAAGGTAACAGAACAGAATCTACACCTGCATCTGCTCCTCCTCCCAATTCCTCTCTGGCTCCAGGCTGCAGGCAGGACCTGGGGCCCACTGGCAAAAACCCAGACTTTGCCCACAAGGAGCTCCAAATCAAGTGCAAATGGCCATCAGAGCCAGCACGCCGGCGGGAGACCATCTGTATTTTTAGCTGGAGGGTGAGTCAGCCTGATGATTCACAGGCCTGGCCAGGCTTACTGGGCAGCCCCAGGCCACGAAGGACAGGGCAGGGGTCAGCTGCCCAGGACAGGAAGACTAGAAGGGGGTCAAGGGCTGCCCAGCCTGGCCACCGTGTCCCCATACTGTGTCCCCATTGTCCTGTGCAGGGTCGGAGCTGGGCTGTGCACTTCCTCACTTGTTCAGAAAGTGGGTTCTGGACATCTGCTGGCAAATAGCTTGTGTCAACAGAATTAGAAAGTCATATAAGCAGCTTCACATCACAGATGTCTGCTCTGGGTTGGGTACCATGCTAGGAGCTGGAGAGACAGTGGCAGAGAACAAACCCCAATACAACTGACATTCTAGGACAGGTGTTGCTGGGAGCTTCTTCATCAAGGGCTGGGTAGCAAGGTTTGGTTTGGTTTTGTTTTTAACAGTACTAGGGATTGAACCCCAAGGCCTTTGCTTTGAGCTACATCCCCAGCCCTTTTATTTTTAAGACAGGGTCTTGCTAAGCTGCCCAGGCTGGCCTCAAACTTGAGATCCTCCTGCCTCAGCCTCCGAGTAGCTGGGATTACAGTAAATATTTCATGTTTTGTGGTCTCTAGAGTCTCCACTGTGGTTTTCCCACAGAAAAGCAGCCATATGCAATGTGTTAATGAATGGGCATGGTTGTGTTCTAATAAAAACTTTATTTACAAAACAGGAGGGAGCTGGACTTGGCCTGTGAGTTTTAATCTGCTGCCCCCAGGTCTAGAAGATGCCTTCTCCCACAACCTGGTCCTTCTATTCGCTCTCCACTGTGGGGCGTAAGACCCAGGTGACGGGTGGTGAGCTGGTGCTGCAAGTAGAAATTGCTCTGATGCTCTAGTGTTAATGCAAAGAGGACCTCTCGAGCCCTCTCTCCATGCAGGTGCTCGTGGGTACCTTGGACTGAGCCCCTCCCCCCCCGGCAGCAATATTCATGCATCATCTTGTGTCTGGACTGGTGCTGGGTGTGCCACAGGAGATGCACAAATAGTTGCAGAGTGAACATGCCAGGGCGTGCCCACCCCTGTCTGTCTGTCTTCACTTTAGTTAGAAACTGGCACACTGGGAGGCTACCACAGGAGGATTGCAAGTTTGAACCCACCCTGGGCAACTTAGCAATTTAGCAAGACCCTGTCTCAAATAAAAAATAAAAAGGACTAGGGATGTAGCTCAGTGCAGAGGCCCTGGGTTTAATCCCCAGTACTAAAAACAAAAGGGATGGGGTAGAGGGGGCTTTGTGACGGACTAGAGCCCTCACTGCTCCTCCTGTTGATCCTTGGGGAGACCCGGGTTCCCATGAGAGTCCTGGAGAGGGCCAAGGCCGTGGGAAGTGCTCCGTGGGGCCCAGCCCAGCGAGCTGTGAGCACCCAGGGCTGAGGTTCGGCTTCCTTGTCCACAAAACAGATGGGGCTGAGCCTCCAGCCTCCAGAGGTCACCAGACAGCTCTGTGCAGCCTCAGAAGTGCAGGGAACACTGTCTCACGAGCATCACCTTTACAGGTGAGTTAACAGGGACTGGAGCCTCATGACACTGACTTACTTGAGGTCACAAAAGGAGTGGGGTTCACACCGCTGTGTCTCCGTTAACCTTGGGCCACCCTTGAATTAGCGCCATGGTGACTGCCCACCCCAGACTCCCTCCCTGCCTGTTTCTCCAGCAGATAGGCAGACTTCTCATCCACACACCCCACCCCAGAAGCAAGGCCGAGGGACGAGGGTCCTGCCACCAAATATTCCCAATGCCTAGTGTCTGGGGGGTGGCAGAATTGCTACTCACAGGCCTGGGTTCAAATCCTATGTTGAAGATCAGTTGACTGTGTGACCTTGGCCAGGAAGACCGTCTTCTCATCCACGTGATAGGAATGGGAAATGACTGACACACACAGAGTTGATTCGTATCAACTGTGGTAGTTATATTCTACAAAGGAGCGCTGCATTGGCAAATTCTCAGCCATCACTCCTGGGGGAAACATAGCTGGGCCCCAATTTGGCATAGTTCAACTTGGGATTCTTCCACTCTGTATGGCAAGAAACCACAGGCATCCGGTAACGCCATCCTCAAGGCTGGGTCTTCTCCCCAGCTCCAGACACGGGGGTACACTCCTTTCTCCATGCAAGCCAGGGGCCGCTCAGCTGCCTGCCAGCCACATGGTCACAGGGGACAGCTGGCACCCTGCAGCTTGCTTCTGCCTCCTGCCCCTCCTCCTTCCTCTCCAAGCACCACCTCCTGCCCTGCAGTCTGTACCTCAGTGTCCCCCGTGCTGGCCTTTGTCCAGCCCTTGCAGCCTTGCCCCTTAGTAAGTGCTGCCCTCCCCACCCCCCTCCTGTTCCTCCTTGCTCCCTTCATCGGATCCTTCGCCTGGTTATTTAGGAACCATTTATTGACCACCTGGTCTGCCCCAGGCCCGTGCCAGGCTCTGGGGTCACAGAGATGAGTCAGGAGGCCCTGGCCCCTCAGAGTACCGTCCAGTGAGAAAGACAGGCGGGGAACTACAGCCAGAAGCCCCCCCCCCCGCATTGGAGATTTGAGCTCCTATAAGCGCGTCGGTCTCTATTTTAGAAAAAGACTGATATTCTGCAGACTTGGGCATGTTGGGTTTCGCGGCCAATCTCTCTGTCGCCTTCTTCAGTGCACCGCGTGGCCCAGCCAAAGGGGCCATTTGCAATCTTGCTAAGAGTCTCAGCTCCATGCTGACGTCCCCTCCCCAGGTCTGAGCCCTGGGATAAGCGACAAACTCCACTGCTCATTGAAAGATGGACACCCTGGAAACCTACCTCCAGCAGCCTTTGCCTCGATTAAGTGAGGTACAGCTTCCTGCACCCACCAGCCCGCCCCACCGTGAGCAAGAAACAACTGTCGCTCCCACAAGTCATGGAAGGTGCTGCTGTCACTCCCAGCTGCGCAGGAGGGTCACCGGGGAACTCGGAAACAGCCTGGGGAGCCAAACAACTCCTTGGCGTTTTTGAAGCTTCCCCCAGGGTCTGGGGATGTGGCTCAGTGGTAAAACACTTGCCCTGGGTTCAACCCCTAGAAGGTCTAGGAACCTGTATCTTAAAATAAAAGGTAAATACATACGATTAAATTTACAACAGATAATTTTAGACTTTTTAAAGTTATTCTCTAATTATCTCCTATGAACAATTTCATAAGAAACTTGGGAAATAAGCACCAGTATAATTGCTACCCAGATTCAGTAATTGTTAGTATTATTGTTAAGCACTGCTATTTTATCTCTCTCTGGGGAGGTAAATTATTTCAGAATAAGACTTGGCTTTGCCAGGAACAGTAGCACATAATCCCAGCTACTTGGAGGCTGAGGCAGGAGGATCACAAGTTTTGGTCCAGCCTGGGCAACTTAGCAAGACCACATCTCAAACTGAAGTGTTGGGGATGAAGCTTAGTGTTCCCTGGGTTCAATCCCCAGTATCACATGGGACAAAGGAGAGGCAGGAGGCTGCGGTGCAGCTCAGTGGTAGAGCATGCTTAGCATGCACAAGACCTTGGGTTCTATCCCTAGTAACAAAAAATTAAGAACTAAAAAGTTATAGAGCTGATGACACATTATCCCTAAATACTAACAAGATTTCGGTATGAGCCTGATTCAGATGTTCTTGTCTCACTACGTAAACGTGCAGCGGCCTTAAGCAGCAGCCTGTCGTGCAGGTCCCAGGCCTCCCAGCCCCTCGCAACCTTCCCTGCCCTGAGAGGAGTTGGCAGAGTCTTGCTCCTCCCTGCCCAGGCCTCCTGTGGGCCCCAGATGCACCCAGGCCCCCTTCCAGGGAAGAGCCCACCTGCCTAGTGCTCGCACCTTCCTGTCACTCCTGGGCGGGGGCCTGGCCTTTGCCCGGGGTGGGCAGCTGGCATGGAGTAGGTAACTTCCCTCTCGGCGCTGGAGCAGCGGGAGGGAGGTTTGTCCAGCTCCACAGCCATTTCCAGTAACTCATTCCAGAGGCCCGGGAGGGTCCCTGGCAGGTTCAGGGACTGAGCCTGGGGACTCACCCAGGACCAGGGGCAGTGAGTGCACACAGAAGTCTGTCCCCAGGCCTCTGAGTGGTTCTAACTGGGAGTGGACAGAAGAGGCGCTGTCATGGGGGCCGGCTGCCAGAAAGCAGCCTGGGCAGAGGACGGTTCCCCGGGCCCTGTGGTTGTTGGCAGAGATGCCGAAGGGCCTGGAGGAGAGTGGAGCGGGCTGCAGCACTCCCCCTGCCTACGACACCCTGCCATGCTGCCCGACTGTCTCCCAGCACACCAGCTATATCCCCAGACCTCTTCAGGTTTTTTCCAGACAGTGTCTTGCTAGGTTGCTAAGTTGCCTAGGCTGGGCCTGAACTGTCAAACTCCGCAGCCTCCCAGAGTGCTGGCATGACAGCCCTCAAACCATGCTCAGCCCAGGAACCCCCTTCTGAGCAGACATTTCCCCTCCAAAGGTTCTTCGTCCTCTGGAGTCACACAGACTCAGCTCCACCCCAGCCTGTGTCCCTTGCTCTGACCCTCTGTCCTCTACAGAGGGGACGTCTCAATACAGTCCTGGGGACGCCCGCCCGTTTCCCCACTGCCCTCTGTCCTGGCAAAGATGAAGGACGTTGGGCTTCTAGAAGCGTGGAGGCGAGGCCCAGGGTGCCTCCCCAGCCATCTCCTTCCCGGGGCTCCAGGACAGCTCTTCCCGTCACACCTCGGTCTGCTCATCGCCAGGGCCGGAGTTAGACCCACGACCAGGGTTTCTCCTCCATGTAAATGGGACCCTGGAGCACGTGACCTTTTGTGTCTGGTTTTTTGCACATGGCATATTTTCAGGCTCCACCCCTGCTATAACAGGAACCAGTGCTTCATTCCTTTGAAGGAGGAGTAATTTCCACCGCACAGATAGACCCCAGCTGGTTTGCCTGCTCATCTGCGGGTGGCATTTGGGGTGTTTCGCTTGGGGCCCACTATGAGGAATGAGGCTATGGGGATTCACATGTGGACGTCCGTTTTAGTCCTCTGGGTCACATCCTCGGGAATGCTTGCTTGTTCCTAGGTAACTCTAAGCTTGATTTTTTTTTTTTTTTTTTTGGTGGCAGGGATCAAACCCAGGGCCAGCCAAGCACCGTAGTACTGAGCCACACCCCAGCCCTCTGCCTTTAATTACCAGAGGGGCCGCTGTACTGTCTTCCGCTGTGGCTTGTGGCTTTCTATGAGGGCCCAGTTTGAGTTCTCCAGGCTGTCTTCCCTCTGGGTTCCCTGGGTTTAAAAACCATAAATAAATAAAATAAAGGGAAGAAGGGAGGCAAGGAAGGAAGGAAAGAAGAAAGGAGGGAAAGAAGGAGAAGAAAGGAAAAAAGAAAGTGGGAAGAAAGAAAGAAAGGAAAGAAAAGGAAGGAAAGGGAAAGAGAAAAGAAAGCATTGTGGTGGTCATTTTCCGAATAAGAAAGTGGCTGGTTGTCAAACAGCCACGTAAGGAGCGGCCCATCATGGTGCCTGCCACAGGGACCTGGGACTTAAACCCGGGCACCTGACTCCAGGCTCAGAGCCCGTAACCCCAGTCGACACTGCCAGGGCCCTTGTCCCCGGGCTGGGGACCTGGGTGAGGCCGGGCCTCTGCCCTCTCTGCCCGCTCTGGCTCTGAGTGGAGGGCCTATTCTCTGGGACAGGAGGCTTCCTTCCCGACCCCAGGGGAGCAGAGGGGCTGCAGTGGCATAGGCCGGCAGCCCCCCTCCCCCGTGCCCCACACCTCAGCTGGCACAGACCTCAGCTCCCTCCCCAGTCCCTTGGCAGATCAGCCGCCACTGCGCCCCGGAGCCTCAGAGTAAGCCGAGAACCCAGGGTGCAGGCAGTGCCCCTTCCCTCCTTGGCTCCCTGCCGCCTCCCAGGGGACCAGGGGACACGTTCTCAGCTTGAGGGCCAGGGAGGGGACAGCACTGCCCACAGGGAGGCACCCTCACCTGCCCTACAGACTGGAAGCCTGGGGAGGCGGCCTGGTGGGCACAGCTTGGGCAGCATCTTCAGGGGGCCTTTAGCCACCTCTTGCTTGCTTCAGCCACCACTAGGGGCCTTTTTGAAACAGCTTCGTAGGGCCGCACTTTACCTATCATCTGCTCCTGTGAAGTGCACGGTTGTATGGACTGCAAGTTCACAGAGCTGTGCAGCCATCCCCAGTGTTTAAGAGCACCCCCACCCACAGGGGAGTCCTCCCCAGCCCCCAGTACCTCAGACAGTACTGGACCCTATCTGTGTACCACGTTTTCCAACACACACCCCCTATGGTAAAATTTAATTGTTTGGATTAGGCATGGTAAGAAACTAACAAGAAGTAATAGGGTTTTTTGTTTTGTTTTGTTATTTTGAGACAGGGTCTTGCTGTGCAGTTCAGGCTGGTCTTGAACTCACTATGTAGCCCAGGCTGGCCTTGAAGTCATGGCCATCCTCCTGCCTCAGCCTCTCGAGAGCTGGGATTACAGCCGTGCACCACCATGCCTGGCTTTAATGGGAATTAGAACACAAAATAATACACTGTAATAAAAGTTATGTGATTGTGGTCTTTCTCTTTCTCTCAAAACACCTTATTGTGCTTTCCCCTTTTCGCTTAAAGGAAGCGCTTTCCTGCTTCTCTCTGCGGATCTGAATTGCCATCACCACCACCACTTGCCCACGCCTGCCTCCCTCAGTCTCCGCGCCCAGCCCTGCCCCTGGGTCTCCTCAGAGGGCTTCAGGGCAGCCTTTGGGGAGCCCAGCTCTGGGGTCCTTCCTCCACTGCCTGTCCGAACCTGGCAGAAGCAGAGCAGCTGGAATAAAAGTCCCGTGCTGTATTCACAGACTCCAGAAGAGTGCGCGTCTGTCACATGGCTTCGGTCTACTCTTCCTGCTTGGCCTGGGCTCTGCGCACATGTGACCATCCCAGAGGAAATTCCCTAGGATAAAGGGTTTTCTGGTGCCTGCCATTGGCTCCAGGGTGGCTGAGAGCAACTATAAAGAGCCTCTTGGACAAAACAGTTGTGATCTCTCCCCAGAGTGCCTCCCAATGGGACTGAGTCTAAGGCCTGCTTCAACTCCCCTCCTTCCTTTCTGCTTGCTGGGTGCTATGGCTATTGGCCGCTGCCTCAGTTTCCCCTTCTGCAAAATGGGCCGTGATCCATTCCACAGTGTAGGTTGTGCCAGAGGGCATACCGTTTCATTACATAATGACTCCGGAGCAGAGCCTGTTTGCTTGGCATCTCTCCACCTGTTGGTGCCAGGGGCAACACTGGGACTCAGCTTCGTAACCTTGCATTTCTGCAGCAGGGTGAAAGGAAGGTGCTGGAATGTCTCCTTTCTCTTAGGTCTGGAAAGGGGGCCTCTTGGGGCTGGGGCCTCAGGAGGGAGACAGAACAGGGCACTTGTCCTCCTGGTAAAATGCATGATGGCTTTAGGTGGCTCACAGGCAAGCCAGGGTATTGTTTTGTTTTGTTTCCTTGTGCTATGTTTTTTGATTTTGTTTGGAAGTGTTGGGGATTGAAGCCAGGGCCTTCTCACTGAGCTACATCCTCAGCCCTTTATAAATTTTTTTGAGACAGGAGCATGTTAAGTCTCTAAGTTGCCCCACCTGAGTTTGAACTTGTGCTCCTCCTGCCTCAGGCTCCCAGAGTGCTGGGATTACAGGTGTATACCACTAGGCCTGCTGGGTTTTTTTTCCTTTCAGTTTCTTATTCACCATGGAAACGTGGGTGAAAAAAATATAAGTGACCTCTCACAGAGTGATCTCACCTGGTAGCCACACAGTGCCCACTTTCAGGGAGCGGACCTGTTTCTCTGGACGCTGGCTGTTGTAAGTGACAGTGGAGACAGTGCTCGGGGGTGTGCCTGCCCCGGGGAGCCAGTGATGAAGGCTGGCAGATGCAGCCTCCGTGGAAGCAGCTGGCCCGCCTGGGAGATCAGGGTGACGGTGAGCAGGGAGGCCACGCCACACCCAGCTGGTCAGCGGCTCCTGGGGCCCGGGGGCCCGTTTTGCAGCCGTCCATGGGCCTGCAAGGTCTAGGAAAGCGAGGCAGGGAGCTCTGGTAAAGGGAGTCTTGGAGAAGGGTCGGCCTGGGCCTCGGGTCTGCCTCGGGTCACCCTCCGGAGATCCCGGATGCTCGCTCGGGGGAGCAGGTCTCCAGGAAGAGCCAGGAGGAAGGACAGAGCTCAGGCAGAGGCACCCTGGGACCCGCTCCTCCGTGGGCCGAAAGACCGCCTACTGGGCCACCCCCGGCTCTGCTTAGCGTGCCTGCTTCCACCTGGGAGCCTGGTGATAATGGACGCCCTGCGGCCTTTTAGGTATGCGGACTGCAGCGCACGGCGCAGATATATAAGCAGCTACAGTATCTAGCTTTAAGGCCACCATGGTGGAGTTGCCCCAAGCACTCAGAGGCTCATCCTGCTAAGGAAGAAAGTACACAGGGCCGGGGATTTAGCTCAGTGGTTCCGCCACCTGCCTGGCAAGTGCAAGGTCCTGAGTTCAATCCCTGGTGCCAAAAAAAAAAAAAAGTGGAAGGAAGAAAGTGTACAGAAGGTTAGGGAAATTTACAAGAAGAAATTCTGTAAAGAAGTTGGCCTAGGATGAAGCAGGGAAGGAGTTCCAGGAAGAGGGGTCAGCTTGTGCAAAGATCCTGGGGTAGGAAAGAGCCATGATGCAGCAGAGGAGAGGGTGACTTGAAGCCCATCAAGTGGCTGTTGCTTCATAGATGGGCTGGGGCTGGGGTCAGCCAGGAGTGTGTGGGCTGCCCCGCTGTCTGTAGCCCTGGCCCTGTCTTGGTTCTTGTAGCAAATGATTCTTTGCCTTCCTTATGTCTGGATCTAAAGAAGAGGAAAAGGCAGGGGTCTTAGGGCCTCCTGTGGTTGGAGTCCAGCCCAAAAGGCCACTCCTTCCTGACTGGGGGTAACGATTCTGTCCCTCTGAAGCTGGCCTCCTTGAGCACACAGACTCTGCTGATCTGCCACCCATGCGTGTGCCCCTTGGGACAGGGACAGAGCCAGGGCTTTCCAGCAACCCGCCTCAGAGGCCAGGCTGGGCTGGGTGAAGCTGCTCCCTTCCCTCCTCCTCTTCCCCTCTCAGCTCCTGAGGGCCCCGGGGGACAACTGGGCACCAGGTCCTACAGCCAGCACCATGGGGCGCCTCAGGGCAGTGTCTGAATCCCAGCCCGGCCGCCTGACCTTGAACCGGAGACCCTCAGCCCCACTGAGCCCTGGCTCCTCTGAGAATGGGCCACTTCCCTGGCTCCTCCATCTGCCGTTTCAACCCAGTCGCTGGCTCTGAGCTCCCACCTCTGCAGAGGGGTCTGGCCTGGGCTCCTTGGTGGTGGCACAGAGGGTCCCACAAGCTAACGGTGGCATCCTTGGCTGGGCCTGGAGGCTGGCACCGTTCGCCAGAATAAAGTCACACCGGCCTGGGCCACAGAGGCAGCAGCATGTTTAAGACAGGACATTTCCTACCTTTTTTTTTTTCTTCTTCAGTACTGGGGATTGAACTCTGGGTGTTTGCACTGAGGTACGGCCCCAGCCCTTTTTTCATTTTTTAATTTTGAGACAGGGTCATGCTAAGTCTCTGAGCTGCCCAGGCTGGGCTCAAACTGTGATCCTCCTGCCTCAGCCTCCCAGATGCTGGGGTCACAGGAGTGCGCCACCAGGCCTGGCAAGATGCTTTCTTTCATGTGTGACTATTTCTGGACTCGGGATGCCTTTCCAGTGGCATGCCTGCTCGCTCACTGGCATTGAGAGAACTGCAGGGGAGGGGACAGGTGAGCCACGCTTGGTGGAGCTCACGTGTCATGGATGGAGCTGGAGGCTAAGGAACACATTAAGGTGATTTGAGAGAGCTGTGAGTTCCAGAAGAAGTAAAATAAGGCAAAGGGCAAGAGAACAACTGGGAAGGGTCTTGGGCTCCTTCCCTAAGCTGCTGTGGGGAGGGAGGCTTCTCTGCTGCACCCTGAAGGTGAGGATTCCTGCAGGGTCCACACAGGTGAATTCTGCCTGCTGAGTGGGATGGTGGATCCGGGAGGGAGGCTGGTCTTGAGACAAAGCAGAAATGGGCATCCCCAGCTGAGGGAACTGCCCGAACAAAGGCCCTAAGCTAGGAAGTAGCCCACGATCCAGCCTGATTGGGTGGGACTGACGCTGATGAAGCTATTCTGTTAAAAGGTTGGTATCTTCTGTGGCCCCTGCCAACCTCAAGTCGTGGGAAGACCTGCAGGGAAAGCATTCCAGGTAGAAGGAATGGCACATGCAAAGGTCCTGAGGCAGGAAGGAGCTTAGCACATATGGGGACAACATATAAATGTGACGGTTACAGACTGAAGTGAGGTGGATGGTTGGGAATTCAGAAAGGTTGGCAGGGCCCACCTCATACTGAGCCCACTGGCATCTGGTATCTGAAACTTAATCCTTAACCCTAAGAGCTCAGAGATGTTTTTTAATGAAGGAAGCCTCCAGGGCAAGAGGTGTTGGATAAAGCTGGAAACCACTGCCTGTGGCCCAGGGGATGATTACCAGGAGCAAAGGAAGGGGCGAGGGGTTGGGAAGGTGGCCAGAGGCTCTGCCTCTTTCATCCAAGGCGAAGGCAGATGAAGTTCTCCTGGCTCATACAGCAGTAGATTCCCTGCCCCGTCTCTCCCTCTCTCTCCCCTCCCTCCTTGTTTCTGTTTGAATTACAATGTTTAAAAATCAGGATTGAAAGCAGGACATGGTGGTGCCCACCTGTAATTCTAGCACTCAGGAGGCTGAGGCAGGATCATGAGCTTTAGGCTGGCCTGGGCTACACTGTGAGAACTTACCTGGGAAAAAAAAAATCAGATGGAAAAAAAAAAAATCCGAATTTCTGACTTGCCTGACAACAGACAGAAAATTCTGGAAGCCCTGGACCGACAGACAGCCCCGGGGACAGGCACTGCCGGGCTGCTCTTTGCCCTGAGGGGTTGTGTTCTCCCTGTTGTGTTCCGCCAGCCCTCTTTACTCCTCCGGCCCCAGCCTGGACGCGCTGTGCAGTTTGTGGCTCCTGCTGGGAGTACTAAGGAGCCACGTTGGACGGGACACAGGGCGGTGGCATCAGGCTGGAGGCTGGAGGCGGGGTCAAGGTGGGCCAGGCCCTGGGGAGTCACGGCCGCGCTCTCTGGCCCTCCACAAGCCTGAGCCCAGGCACGGGTGCGGCATGGAAGGCGGGCGCCAGCCCCCAGCCCACTGCGGGTCTGTCTGTCTCCTTTCTGGGGTGCCTTCCGCCGCACGGCTGGCCCTTCCGGCCGATCTCTCCCCGGCAGGAAACCTCTTCAGGTCGGATCAGGTTCTCCGTAAACCGCAGCACCAAAGCAGCTGGCAAATTGTCATCGGCACTAGCGAAAGGGTCCCCTCCCAGCCCGGGCACTGGCTAGGAGCCTCCTTAGTCAGGACCCCTCCACCGAGCTCCGCCGGACTCGGCACCCTGCGGGGACAGGGCCTGCGAAAATCCCAGCGACTGTTTTACGGAGGAGGTGTGATTCGGAGCCCAGCCTCCGCTCTGCTCTGAGGAGCGGGCACCGGCAGGAGCTGAGCGGCGGGCGGGGGGCTCAGCCCCAGCGCGGGTCTCCCACGCACGGACGACTCCGCGTCCTTGGCCCTCTTCCGGGGCTGGACGCGGTCGGGCCCTCTGGCTGCTTCCAGCTGCCCATCTGTCCTGCACATGGCCCCTTTGTCCTCTTTGCAGGAACGAAGGCAAGTCAGGGATGACAGGGACAGCGTGGGCTGCTGCAGTCACTGGGCTCTGGGCCTGGCCAGCCCTGGGACACAGAAGGGGAAACTGAGGCCCCATCACAGGGTGAGGAGAGCAGCACTGCTTCTGAGGTTGGCGACTGTGGGAGGTCCCTTCACCCAGTGTCCCCACTGCTGTCCCCTGGCAGGCTCCTCAGGGCCTGTAGTGCTAAGGTCAGGCGCTGGGGCCTATCAAACTGGGGGGTGCAGACTTGGCTCCTAGGTGAGGCCCCTGCTCCCCACACCCAGCTTGCCCTGGCTGGCCCTTTATGGGGGAGCAGTTGTCCTTGGCCTAGGCTGGGGATCAGGCAGGGGTTGGACTACCAGGACTCCTCTGGCTCCCAGTTCTCAACCAGGGCTAAACTGACAGCAAGTCTTCAGAAGGGGATGGACTTTTTCTACCCTACATTTCCTTTCCAGAAAGTGCCCAAGTTACAGATCTGCTTTATATTTTTAAATAATAAGGGCTGGGGATTTAGCTCAGTGGTGCTGCCGCCTGGGTCCTGAGTTCAATCCCCGGTACCAAAAAAAAAAAAAAAATATTAATAGTAATCACACTGAAGAACTTGGAACTCTGTGTTCTACCTTTTACATAGTTTGAATAGCAGTTCCTCAATTTGATATCTGTGTGAGCTTGGGCAACTATCCTAACTTCTCTGTGCCTTCATTTCTCCTCTGGCAACAGAGGTGGTCACAGTGCTGTGCTTTGAAGGATTTAATATGCACAGAGCCCTTCATGCAGTAGGCCTGGCACCGAGTGGGTGCTGGGGACAGCCCTGGGAGTTTCCTGCTGTCATGGGACCCGATCTCTAGTGGAGAACAGTGAAGCCCTGTGCAATTTTCTGACCTTTTCCAAGGTCAAGACATCAGTTTCAAATCCTGATCATGCCATGGAGGGGCTCAGATAGGACAAATCAGCCACGCCTTTCCACACCTAGAAGCCAGTTCCTTCCCCAGCCCCCAGAAACTGTGCGGTGGACCCCACCTCTCCCAAGGACCCTCCAGTTTCCAGGCAGTTCAAGTAGCCCTGGACCCCATGCGCCCCACTCTGCTGATAGCCTGACAGACATGAGAGCAGTCTCAGCTGCATAAATGGGATTTCTCCTTACACACACGCACACTGTGGCCACTGGACTCTGCGCAGCGCGTGAGTCAGTGCCCTGGGTCTATGCCAGCATCCGGTGGACGTGACTCCGGTGGACGTGACCGTGACCTTGCTCATTTGCTTCAGCTTTGAAAGCTTTGCATCTTTATCCAGGGAAAAATTTCAAAAATGCCCAATAGAGGATTGGCCGATGACTCCCGAGTCCCCACCCCTCTGCTCGGGTGGTGGTGGTTGCATTTCCTCATCCTCGATTTATTGCTTTATCGTCCTCTTCTGCCTTGGTCCTTTCCGGTCCAGTATTTCAGTGCCAATCACCAACATCACACCTGGCTCGCTCATCATTTCCTAAAAAGGACAACTTTAAAATCGCTGTAGATTGACAGGAAACAGTGCCGAGCAGCATGATTCTGTGCACCCTTCGCTGAGTGCCACCATGGTCACATCTTACATCGTCTGTGATGTCAAACATCAGTGTCCGCAGCATTGAAACTCGGGACCTGAGCTTGCTTGAACCTGTGTGCACAGCGGTCCTGTGCCCTCTTGTCACCTGCATGGGTTCACATGACCGGCGTGGTGAAGACCAGACTGTTCAATCTCCCCAAGGACGCCCCTTGGGGTCACACCCGCCCTCCTGCCCCACCCCACCCCCGCCTCCCTGTTCTGGTCCCATTTCCGTAATTGTGTCATTTGAGGACATTAGAGGAATGGAGTCCTGGTTGCTCAGGGCTGTTCCACATGATGGATATACAGTGGTTTGCTGTTCCCTTCACACACTGAGGGGCATCGAGAGTTTCCAGTTTGAGGACACCAGAAAAAAAGCTGCCACTGATTTCTGCGGGCATGTCAGATTCCATTTCTCTGGGATACACAGTGTCGGAGAAGCAGCTATTCCCTCCAGCCCAAGGAGCCTGGAGATCCTGAGCAGCCTGTGCCTGCCTCACGCCTATGAAGCACTCTGTGTGCACCAGGCGCTGTGCTGGCTCTCCTTTCACCGGGCGCTCAGTCTCCACAAGACAGCACTGAGGCTCAGGGAGCTGGGTGACCTACCTGCCCGGGGCCCCAGCTTGCACACGGGAGCACCAGGAGTGGCACAGCCCTGTCCAGCTCCTAAGCCTGTGGGGTTGATACCCTACCTGCTGGGCAGAAGGAATCAGTGCCAAATGTTGGTGGGGCCAGTGAGCAGACCAGGGGTGTTGGGAGGAGCACAGAGCCCTGGTCCCTGCTTCTGCTGCTGCTCTGGTCCAGCCGCCTGGGTCCCCTTGGGCCGGGTGAGTGTTCCCGCCTTCCTGGCCCCCTCATCCAGCAGGGAGGGCCCCACCTAGCCCCACCTGCACTCTGGAGGTCCTGGCCCCACCCCCTCTGAGCCTCCACCTTCTGGGGTGAGCCTCGTGGCGTGGTGTGACCGTAGGATTGGTGTGAGGACAGTGACACCTGCCATGGCCAGGCACTGTGGCTGGCACTTGTGCGGACCATCCCATGGGCTCAACACAGCACCCTGCAGCACGCGTCACCACCGGGGCTTTGCAGAGCCACTGTCGAGGCTCGGTGGCTGAGACTCACCCAGCTCACAGAATTGGGGTTTGAGCTTGCCCACCTGACACCATCCCCTGAGGGTTTCCAGCTGAGCCAGTCCGGGGTCTCTTGCCAACCCGTCTTCGTGTCCGGCATGGGCAGGCTGGCTCTCCGAAAGGTCTAGGCTCAGACAGTTTGCCCATCTGCCTGAGGGCCCTCAGAGGTCCAGATGGCTTCCGCCTGGGGGCCTCCGGAGAGGCCCAGGGTAAACCTCATGGTTCTACTTCCCTGTCACTCTAGCGTGAAGTCTCCACGGCACCCTGAGGTCCCAGACCTGCCCACTTGTCACACCCATCTTCCTGGCTGTGTGGGACCAGGCTGTCCCTGCCTCTGTCTCCTCTCCTGGAAAGGCCCAGCCATCGACTATTACTAGCCTGAAACCTTCCCTGAGGGCAGACAGGGTGTGGCCCGTCTGCCCCACCCTGACCCTGGCCCTGGCCTTGGTTCCTCCTCACACGGTGACCTTGGCCTGGGACCTCCATCTTCACTCAGCTAAGAGGACTGCGATTGCCGAGTGGCCTCCCGAGGTCTGCTCTTTGTGAACCGCGAGGCATTACACAAGCCCCAGCTCTGTTTTCCTAATTTCTCAGCCTGCTCCTTCTTTGTGGCTCCCTTTTCTTGGCTGGTTGATTTGGTTTTGATGGTACTGGGGACCGAACCCAGGGCCTTCACACTGAGCTACATCCCTAGCACTTTTCTATTTTTTATTTCGAGCTAGGGTCTCACTAAGTTGCATAAGCTGGGCTCAGACTTGCAATCCTACCTCGGTCTCCCACAGTGCTGGGATTACAGGTAGGCACCACCACACCTGGCTCCGCTTTTGTTGTTTAAAATTCAGTTTCACCTGTATTTCTGATGAAATCACAGTAGCTCTTTGGTTGGCTGGTGGGGGACAGGACTCCCTCCTGTGTGTGCTTGCCATGGTTTGACAGCATTTCCTGCATGTCTGTTGTGTGCCAGGCCTAGTGCTGGGGACAGACAGGGGAGCCAGGCACAGCATCTGACATCTAGGGGCCTGCGGTCCACTGGGCAGACCATGGCAATACAGGGGTATGCGCAGCAATGGAGAGGCAGTCATGGCAGGAAGGACCCCAGCCCAGCCAGGCGAGGGGCGGGGTGGGGGGGGAGGACGGGGAGGAGGAGGAGGAGGAGGAACTTCCTCAACCTGCAGAAGCCCACGTGCGCTATAAAAGATTGAGTGGGGGTCAGGCAGAGGAGTGGAGAAGAATGTTCCAGCCAGAAGGATCAGCATTAGAAAGGGCTGGAGGTGAGAGGGTACAGTCACATACCCCTCCCCACCTTCCTCAGTCACCCCAAGGTCTTCTGAATGGATTCTGAGTCTTGCCTTGAGACTGGGCTGACATTACCACACCCACGTTGCTCTTGGGCCTGTAAGCTGTCCTTCCCTGTCTTTAAGGGTTTTCCAACATTATCCACCCTTCAATCCACTCACCTGTCTCCGCACTGTCTCTTCATCCAGCTATCCATTTATTTATCCCTGCATATAGGTGTCCATCCATCCACCTAGCCATGCAGTCATCAGTTGGTGTTTACGTATCCATCCGTCCATTTGTCCATCTGTTTGTCAATCCATCCATCCACCCAACAAAGACCCACCGAATGTGATGATGTCCCAGGCCCTGCTGGGCAGAGCCTTCCCTAAGGAGGCACAGGACAAGTGGTGAGCAGACATGGGCTGTGTCCTCCCCCAGACAGGCACAGACTCGCTCCTGGAGTCCTTCCCACCCTGCGGCTGCCTGGTCTTGTTAGGAGGGAGGGAGGCAGCCTTCACCTCTCAGCCTGGGAAACTGTCCTTGATATTTTGTTTTCCAGAGCTTCACTCCCCAGACATCACATGCAAAATCAACTCAGACTGCAGACAGCCTCCCTGTCCCCTGCCTGGCGCTGCCAGGGACAGCACCTCTGGCTGCCTTGTAGGGAGGGATGTGACCCTGTGCTGCTTAGTCACTGCCTGTGATCTGCTCAGTCTTCCCTCCCCATACACCTCGAGGGGTGGGAGTGGGGGTGGGGGCTGGTCCAGACAATATGCCATTGCTGGTACCACCCACCAAGTGGCCTGATAGCCCATTCCCAGCTGGCCCAAGTCTCACAGTGCCCTTGTCGTTTGTAACAAGAGCAAGAGCCCAATATTCTTCTGAGGAAACCCAAAGCCATCACTGAGCTTACCCAGGAGCCCTTCCTGGTGTCCCCGAACCTAGAGGTCCCTGGCCTGGGCTCTTCTCTGTCCACTTAGAGATGGGAAAACACCAGTCTGCTGCTTCTCAGGTTTGTAGGGGTGAGGGATGGGGCAGATGGGGGTGGGTGCGGTTCACCCTCAAAGGGACTGATGAACCTGAGAAGGCAGGGCCACCTGCAGGGGCCAGGGGGGCCCAGCTGGCAGCAGAGCCACAGATTGGTGGCCCCTTGGAGAGAGAGGGGCCCTGGGTCTGCTACGCCCCTCCTCCTCCTGTCAGGGGGCTCTGTGCTCTCCATGCCAAGGGCTCCCCAACACCTGTGGTCTGCCCCCGGCCCCCCGAGACCACAGGGCCTGGTGTGGTAGAGACATCATCTGTCATCTGATATGTCTGCAGTGACCGCCAGGTTGCAGGAGGTGACATTCCCAGATCAGCCCAGGAGCTGGTGCATATGTCTAGGTGACAGATGAACTTGCATGACTTTGCAAACCAGAAGAGACATTAAATTGCAGGCACTGTCTGTATCCAGTTCCTAAGGCTGCTGTAACCAGCAACACTGGTTGGCTTAAAACAGCACAAACTGCTTCTCTCTGAGCTCTGGAGGCCGGAAGTCCAAACTCAAAACGTCAGCAGGGCCATCAGGTACCTTCATAGGTGCCTGGGATTCAAATTTCAACATGTGTCTCTAGGGGACACAGTTGGACTCTTGACACCGTAGGAGTCTGGTTTTGTTTAAAAAGCACATGCACAGTAGCGTTGCTTCATAATCGGGATGCTCATCACACCAGACTTTTGCTCTGAAAATTTATTGAGCTACACGTTTATGATCCATTTGGTTTTCTCTGCATCTGTTGTAGTCCAATTAACACGTTATAAAACACAGAGACATGCACTTTAGCCTGGCAGCCAATGCACTGCACTGTTCCCCGAGACCTGCTCTGGTGGTGAGTTTATGGATTAATTTCATTTTCTCCCCCATATGTTCCATGTCTTCTGCAATAGCTGGCATTAACTTGGTCAAATAATAATACATGTCCATGAAAAACGAGGAACGGGGATAGAATCTTAGGGATCCTTCCCCACCCCCAAAGTTATTTTAGCAGGAGGTGGGAATCCCAATGGGCATTTGGCTGTCCCTAGAATTCTTTCCAAGTCTATTTTTAGCACCATTACCTACCCCTTCAATGTCCTGCAAATGGTTTGTGGCTCTGATGATCCCAGCTGAGTTTCTGCAGAGCGTGGCTTGGGCAGTTACTTCACCTGTGTCCTCTTCCGGAGGACGCGGGTAATAATAGAACTGACCTCATGTGTGGCTGGGAGGCTTAACTAGGAAAATGCACGTGAAATCCATCCACAGGGCTCTGGCCCAGGCGACAGGCTGCCATGAATGTCCTCCTGATGAGAAAATGCCCGCGTGTGGGGCTGGGGCAGGAATCTCTGTGTCCTGCTTTAACGGCTCAGCTTGTGGGGGAGAGTCCAGTGATGAGGGCCCTTCCCTTCGGACGTGGTCATCCCTGGGGACCACAGGGCGCACTGGGCTTCCCTTCCCTGCTCTGCTTTCCCACTGTGTCCCCTTAAAGCAAGTCTTGGTGTGCTTTCCCTGCCCTTCCTTAGGCTGCACATTTTGCATGGTGTGCTTAATGCAATGGCAGCTGAGGATCACAGAAAGGCTCCAAGGAAGCAGGAGGAGGTAGCTAAAGAGAGGAGTGTCAGCCAGGTGTAGCGGGAGAGAGGGAGAAGAGAGGAGCTTTCTACCTCCAGCAACTGCTAATCCAGGCCCCACCCCCTCTGACCCCGCCCTTGGAGGCGGGGCTGTGGCCAGGTCTGCTCCACCCACCGCCCCCCAGGGCTTTGGGCTCTGGGCTCTGGGAAGGGCTGTGTTGGAACCTGGTCCTTTTCGGCGAAATCACCACAAATGACAAACGCAGAAACTCTGTCCCAGCTGGTCTGCTGCCCAGCTGTAATCCCACGGATAAACTGGAGCTCGGGAGACCTTGTTTACGTACAAGGTTACTCTTTGGGACATTGTTGGTAAAAGTGAAAGACTGAAGGCAGTCTACCCCCCACCGCATCTATATGATGCTGGTTAAACAAACCGCAGGCTCCTCGTACTGCGGTGGAATTCTGTGTATAAGGCTGTGGAAAACAGTGAGGGACATCTCTAAACTATCTCTAAACCTAGGTAAGAAGAAGAAGGTCCAACGCAGGATGTAGTGTATACCTCTTTTCATTAAAAGAGGGAGTGTGTGAGAATAGATATTTGTATTAGCTTGGACTCGCACTGAGTGGCTGCATGTCACTTGTGGAGTTGGGACGTCGTCGTCGTCAGGGGAATGGGGCTGGCAGGGGACACAGACGTGCTCATTGCTTTTTAGGGGGAAAATACAGACATGCTCTCTAAAATTTCAAACTTAAAAGACGTCAACGTGTTTAAAACAAAAGCATGTTTTGAATGTGGCTGCTGAGGTCTGAACATCACACTGGATCAGGCCCATCTTGTGGTAGCTCAATCTCTCCGTTTGAGTTCCTCCCTGGAGGGGAGAGGGTAAGAGCAGTTCCCACCCTGGGCTGCTCCGATGACGGGAGGAGGTAACCGAGGCCCAGGGGGTGGCGTTCGTGATGGGCAGGGCAGGCAACTAGAGTGAGGCTCTCGCTGTGCTGGGGGCCAGTGGGTTTCCTGACACACCTCGCTTTGAAACAGCCCTCTGGTGGCAGGAAGTGAGGCCGAGCTGCGGGAGCCTCCCGTCTGGGTAGCTGTGTCCTCATGCCCTGACTCAGTTCAGGGGGGGGGGGGGGCGCTCCTCCTCTCCTTGACAGCACGGGGAGACTTGGGAGTCTTGCATCCCGAGTGTCCCTCTATGACAACTGGGGCCAGGGGGTTGAGTTAAAGGCTGTCAGCATCAGGTCCCCGTGGGCTGGGATACGGACACAGAATGGCAGGGATAAGGAGTCAGAGCCAGTTCCCACCTCCCGTTCTGCCTGGCCCTTGGGCTCCACTTCCTGGAGACCCACAGTGAGGAGCCTGGAACGCAGCCCCTCCCTGGCTTCACATCCAGCCCTGGGCTGCACTCACAACACCTGCCTGAGGTCGAGGTGCAGATGACCACAACATGGGCCTCCGCACCTGCTCTGCTCAGAGGCCATCCGCTTCCTGCTCCATGAGGCCTTTTCCAGAAACTTCTACCTACCAGGCCTTGGGGCTGGTTGCAGCCAAAGCTGCAGAAAATGGTGCTGCCTTTCCAGCCCCTGCCATGCGCCTTGCCCCAGCGGCTGCAATCAGAAGTAGAAAGAGAAAATGGTCAGAGGATTGAAAAGCAGATTTCAAATTCTCCACCTCAGGGTCATTCATGAATAATTTTGTAAGTCAACTATCACTCCGTGATTTACCTTTGTAGGGAAGATATCTCTTCCTACACTGATTTGCCTAAAGCAACCTGTGCAGGACACTCAAGGAGCTGTCGGATTCTGGAAAGCTCTGTCAGAACCAGAGGAAGTTCTCGGCCTCCCGGTCACCCCAGAGACAAGCCCCTGGCATCTCCTGAGGAGACGTGATCAGAGGTGATTGGAAGGTGGCAGGGGACTTGTTCAGATCCCCCTGACTTCTGTGCACCCCTGGCCTAGCCCCATTGCTTCCCTGAACCTTTGTGAAACAGGGTTCATAAACAGGACTAACCTCAAAGCCTGTCAGATGCCACGCGGCACCTGGCACCAAGTAGGTGCTTAGGAAACAGGGAGCCAGTTAGTGTTTACCTTTGCAGGTGACTCACCTGGGTTCATCCCCAGCCCCAGCCAGTGACTCCCCAGGACAGAGAGCCATTCTTGAGGGGCAGAGGAGGGGCCCATCTGCATTCACCCAGAACCCTGGCGCCAGTATCTGCTTGAACGTAGGATGAAGTGCCCTCTTCCTCCTTGCTGTTACAGCCAGGATAGCGCGTGGTGCGGCAGCCTTCAAAAACCACTCTCGAGGCTGGTTGTGGCGGTGACACACGCCGCCGGCAATCCCAGCACTCTGGGAGCCTGAGGCGGGAGGATGTCAAGTTCAAGCTCAGCCTGAGCGGCTAAGACAATAAAAAAAGGGCTGGGGATGTAGCTCAGTGTGAAAGCCCGGGGTTCAGCTCCCAGTACCACAGAAACAAAACTATTTTTGATTTAAAAAAATAAATTTGCTTTGAGAAAAAATACTAAGCAGAGAGTAAGGGAGGAGAGAGCCTGCACTGACTCTCTGGAAAGCTCTGGGAGGAGGGACACTGGAGTGCTGGGCAGAGCAACGGCCCTGGGGGAACCAGATGTTTTCACGGGGTGGCTCCTCAGCACCTTGGGCCTCCATCTCCTCGCGAAGTGGAGAGCAGGTGAGGGTGAGAATCCGGGGAGGTTTAAGCAAGTTTCGCTGAGCCCAGGGCGTTGTGGCACCTGGATTAACTCAAGGACAGGAGGGGAGCACCTGCGCCCTGGAGCGGAAGAGGAAGAGGGGGATGCACGGGCTCTGGTTAGCAGCGTGCGAGCTCCGCTTCTCCGCTTCCGTGGCGGCAGGGGAGGCGGCGTCTTGGGGGAAGGTGGATGGGCGCCCCACACCACCTCCGCTACTCTCAGTCCAAAGGTACCCCAACGCTGAGCTGACTGTAAACGGTCCACAGGGACAGAGGTGAAGGGCGGAGTTGACCCCGGAAGGGCGGTGTTAAAGCCAGCCGAGGAAATTAAAGGAAGGCCGGAGGGGAGGGGAGGGGAGGGGAGGAGAGGCCAAGCCTGGGAAGGCGGAAGGGCGCTCCTCGCCGCCGGGGATGCGGGGGATGCGGGGGATGCGCTGCTTCTCCAGGTGAGGGGGCGCAGAGCCCTCCCACACCTCCCACTCCCCAGCCCCAGAGCAAACTGTGGCCCTCAGAGAGCTCTGCGCACCCCAGCCTGGCTTCCCCACGGTCCCACACTCTCTCGGGACCCTGTGCTTTTACTTCTGCCCTGATTGCTCCGCTGGACTCCTGGTGGTGGGATTCAGGGCAGGCTCGGTGAGTGTGCGACCCGGGCAGCTGTACGAGGCTGTGTGCACAGAGGAGCCGGTACTTGGAATGCTCTGCTGTCGCTGATCTGAAACCCGCGATCCTTTCTCATCAGGAGGGGCTGTGCTTTCTCTTGCACTGTGTTCTCACCAGATTTCACATCTTGTCCTAACGGAACTTAGGATCTGCCTCCTCTTGCTAGACGTTTGTATTAGTTTCCTGAGGGTGGTGTCACAGATTTCCAGAAACTGGAAGCTTAAAGCAATGCACGCTTCTTACCTTACAGTTCTGGGGGCCGAAGTCTAGAACAGGACGGGGCTGCCTGTCTCCTGGAAGCGAGGGGAGGGGCTCTGGGCCGCTGGCATCCTGGGCCCCTGGCCCTCCCTCCGGGAGCAACTCCTCAGGTCTCTGATCCCTGCCTCCCTCCCCACTTTCTCCTGCTGGCCTTCCTGCCTCCCTCGGGGAAGGGCTGCGTTGATATGGGCCCCGAGGGGGTAATGCGGAGTAATTATCTCATCTCTCAACCCCCATGTAATCCTGCCTGCCAAGTCCCCTGCGCCCCTGAAGTAACTACGGTCCGCACAGTTCCCGGGACGGGATGTGGCATGTTTGGAGGACCCTGGTAGCCGGGAGGATGTGGCCTCATCTGTTCACCAGCACACCCCCTGGCACGGCACGGTGCCCTGCATACAGGAGGCGCTCAATAATTGCTGGCCGAGTAACCGGATGACATGAGGTAAGGGTGGCGCGCAGGGAGCCAGCTCAGGGGACAGCACCCAGGCCTGGCCAGGGAGGAGACCCTGGTCTGGGAGCCAGAGTGGCCTGGGCGGGGCCTTTGCCCAGGTGTCCCTCCACCTGGCTCCCCGTGTCGTTCTCTGGGTCGGTCTGTGACCATCGGTGAGGAGCGGCACCCAGGGACCTGCCTGAGAGCCGCGGCGCACAGGAGCATTCCTGGGCTGACACCCGCGGGCTTCACTGCTCAGAGTCTGGGGGCCCAATCCCAAGGCCTCACCTCACCTGCCGCCCACCCCACCCATCACCTGTCCCTCTGGGCCGTGGCAAGGGATAAGGTGACGCGGGCCTTCGCTCGTGTGTCCAGCCTGGTGTCAGGAAGGGAGCGCCCCCCGGAGACCCGGAGCCAGTGTGGCCCGCGCTGCTGGGCCGGGCCGCTCAGATCACCTGGTCCGCGGCACGGCCCGGGCCGGAGCACAAAACCGCGCCCTTTGCCCGGTGCCCTGCGGCTCCGCCCAGAGAAAGCAGGCGGGAGACGGGTCCTGCAGCGCGGCTGGGCTGGACAGGGACGTGGCCCGGCTGCCACCAGCGGGGACTCAGAAGTTCACGCGGACCTCTGAGAGCTACACTAGCCCGGGAAAGGCATGCGAAATTGGGCCATTTCTGTAAAAATGAAGCCGCACGTGCCGAGAAGGGCCCTGAAGAGCGGAGAAGGCAAAGCGCTGACTGTCACCTCCTGCGGGAACTCGTGGGGGCGGGCAGGGCCCGGGAGGTTGGAGGGAAGGCAGATGAGAGCTTTTCTTCCGCTCACCTCTCTGCCGATGGGCATGTTGTCAGGGACGTGTACTGCCTCTGTAGCTCGAAAGGAGAAATCCAATAAAGCATATTTTTAGAAATGTGCTGAGAGAGACGCTGTCCTAAGAGCCTTGTGGAGCGTGTTCTCTGTGCTCTGTGAGCACCGTGGGGCAGGTGCTTTTATCACGTATTTCCCCCACGAGGCCGGGGGGGATCAGAGCGGTTGAGTGATTTGCCCACGGAGAAACAGCTTGTAGCTGTCATAGCTGGTGCCTGGGCACAGAGAAGAGCAAGGGTTATGTCACGTGGGCCAGTTACTGTGCCGGGAGCAGGTGATGTGGCCCTGGCTGTCTTGGGGTGGGAGCCCCTCCACCTGCTGTGTCTGCCGGGCTAGGCTGCCGCTCCCCACAGAGGAAGGGGGGGATGCCCCGTATTTATGTCTGGTTGCGATTTCAGTTTCTCAGCTTCCCACTGAATATAGCGTCTCCTAGCAGAGATGGATGTTTATGAGGCCAGGAGGAAAAAGCCACAGGGCACCACGGCCCATGCCTTGCCTCTCCTCCCGAGAGGGCCTCTCAGACGTGGCTTGGCCAGACTCCGTGAGCTCAGCAGCCACTGCTTCCTCTGTGTTCAGCCCCAACACCAACCTGGGGGCCTGGTTGCAGGGCTGGCCAGGGAGAGCCAGGCCACCTGGGGCAGGACAGTGAGAGGCTCAGCTCTGGTGACCTCTGTCTGGTTCTCTTCCTCTCCAGAGCCTAAATCACGGCATTGGACATCTACAGCCCTGAGGGGACTGGAGGCATGAGAACCCCCTCAGACGGGCCGAATCAGAACCTGGCAGATTTGGGGCAAGGCTGAAAACATCTATGTGGTGTGATCAAAAGATATGGTGAATATGAATATATATTTTTCCTGAACATTTATTATAGTAAAGACACATTGTCATGAATCTCCCTCAAAATACTCCCCCTCGCTTTAAACATGCTTATCCCATCTTTCTTGCAACTCTCTGAAGCAGTTCTGGAAGTCCTCTTTCATGAGTGTCTTTACAAAGTGTGATCAGGAACAGAGGCGGCGGCTGCTGCTGAGTGCTATCCAAGGGAAAGGCAGGCCCATAAAAATATGGTGCTGTGTCTTTACCTACCTTACTCCCTGGATCTGGCACAGAGTTCTGGCTCTTCTCCCAAGCCAAAATGACCACGAAAAGTAAATGTTTTGGATAGATTCAGGACATCAAGGCAGGTGTGATAGCACGATTAAAGACCCTCACAAAGGAAGACTTCCAGAAGTGCTTCAGGAAGCGGCAGGAATGATGAGATAAATGTGTTCAAAGCAAAAAAAAGTATTTTGAAGGGGATTAATGACAGTATGTCTCTTATTGTAATAATTAAAAATTTTTTCACAGTCATACATTTTTTACCACACTTTATAGCTATGGTTTAAAGCCTTGTGGAGAAATAAGGTATTTGTCACCACTGCCATAATTCACTCAATAAATATTTCATGAGCACCTGCTGTACCTCCAGTATGTTATAGACCCTGCTCACGGTGAATGGTGAGGAAGGACAGCAGGGTTTCTGCCTCATAGAGTATACATCAAAGCTGGGGGGGTCAGGGACAAAAGCCACTGCACGAAGAAACAAATGAGGACATTGGCATTTGAGTTGAGACATAAATGATGAGAAGGGACCAATCCTTTAAACATCTGGGAAGAAGGGTAGTCCAGGCAGAAGGAGCAGCAAATCCAAAGGCTCAGGGGCAGAAAAGAGCTTCCCGGTGTGAGGAACAGCCCAGGTGCCTGTGTGGGAGCAGGGTGAACAGTGTGGATTTGCTGGCCGGGGTAAGAGCTTATATTTACCACAGTCACAAAGGTGGGGGGCGTTGTGGGTGGATGTAGAGGGGTCATAATGGTCTGATTTCCATCAAAGATCACTGTGGCTTCTGGACAGAGTTGGGTATCTTAGTCTCTTTTCTGTTGCTATAACAGAATGCCCAGGGCTGAGTAATTTATTACAAAAATTTACTTTGATGCATGGTTCTAAAGGCTGGGGAGTCCCAGTGTGTGATAGTCCCAGGGCGGGCTTTTTGAACTCACGGCAGAAAGCTCGAGAGCAGGCGGGTGCATGTGAGAGGAGGAAAATCGGTGTAGCCTGACTTGATTTGCTGTCAACCCACGCTGGAGGTAACTAATCCAGTCTCAAGAGAGCGAGAATTCACTCCCCCAAGAAAGGGCTGGTTGTTTTGTTTCTTTCTTTCTCCCCCTCTACTTTTTTTTGTTTTCCTCTACTGGGAATCGGAACGAGGGTCTTTGCATTGAGCTAATTCCCTGCCCTTTTTTTAATTTGTATTTTTATTTTGAAACAAGGTCTCACTAAGTCACTCTGTTGCCCAAGACAGGCTCAAATTTGTGATTTTTCTGCCTCAGCCTCCACATTCATCCTTCTTAACTACCCAGTCACCACTCAAAAGCTCCACTACCCAACACCCAGGGGCAGTCACTTTTCATCACAAGTTTGGGTAAAGAGAAACTACATTTAAACCAGAGGGCAGAGGCCAAGGGCCGAGTCAGAGTGGGGGATTAAGGGCGGCTGCCATCCTTTCGAGAGGTGGTGGTGACTTAGATGGTGATGGGAGTTAAATCCAGATACTTTAGCCGGGGATTTAGCTCAGTGATTCCGCCACCTGCCTCGCAAGTGCAAGGTCCCAAGTTCGATCTCCGGTACCAAAAAAAAAAAAAAAAAAAAAAATCCAGATACTTTAGAGGCCAAGTTAATAGAATCCAGTGTTGGGGTATGGGAAGGAGAAGACTCTTATGGATGACCAACCCCAGATCTAAGAAGTTGGGTGGACAGTGGAGCC